TGTTTAATCTCTACTGCCAGTAAAATGTTACAGTATTTTTCTAATTGGTTTTGCATCTTATTGGAAGTATAATTACAGCAATTTTATTAACAAAGAATATAAGGGATTCATATGAAGCTTTCAGGTCAGTGAGAGATACTGATGTGGTATGTGTGCCTCTCTAAGCAGCTAATTCTCAGATCAAGCTTAGGGAAGCTTTGGCACCTTTTTAGATTTCAATTCCTATTTTCTTAACCCAGTGTGCAGACGTGAGCAAATGGAAACAGTGAATCTTTTGTACTCTTTAAAACAACTGTATAAATATACTTTGAGCTACCTTTAAAAAACATAAAGGAAATTCCACTTTGTAACCACAAGAATATATATAAAAAACATATAATAATAAGTTCTGGTGAGCATGTGGGAAATTGGAACTCTCATCATTGCAAGCAGGAATGTAAAATGGTGTGGCCACTTTGGGAAAGAGCTATTCAAAATGTTAAACTTAGAAATACCATATAATCCAGCAATTCTATTTCTAGGAATCTACCTGAGAGAATGGAAAACATGTCCACACAAAGACATACACAAATGTTCATAGTATCGTAATTCCCAGCAGCCAAAATGTGGAGGCAATCTAAATGCCCATTACCTGATGAATGTGCAGATAACATGTATATCCACATGACACAATTCTACTCTGCGGTAGAAGAAATATTGATTATGTGCAACAACATGAATGATTCTCAAAAAACATTATGTTCAGTGAATAAAGTCAGTCTAAAAGACTGCCTATTCTGTGATTCCACTTAACTGAAAGGTGCCAAGTAGGAAAATGAATAATTATAAAAAGTAGATTAGTGGTGCTTAGAGTTAGGGTGCAGCTATAAGTGACTATTGATCAGTATGATGTTTCTATCGTGATGATGGAAGTGTTCTCGAATTAGATTATCTCGATAGGTGTGCAACTCTTTAATTAATCACTAAACACCATTGATGTTTATACTTTAAATGGTTGAATTTTATGGTATATAAATTACATTTCAGTAAAGCTATTTTACATAATCACTGGGTTTTCCTCTAATTCAATCATTTGTCATTTAGGTTTAAGTGTCATAATTTATTTTAAAGTTAATTCTATGTAACAATAATTTGGAATGGAAGTTATATAATCTTTTTCTAAGATAAATATCTATTTTTATAGGGCCTTCCTAGTCTGAAATTATGAAAACATATCAATCTCACCATAAAATCTATTTAAGATGATTTGAACAAATGAAATATTACACAATTTTAATCATAAAAGATTCATAAACACTTCAGAAAAAATTGAGTTTGAAAATTTTCCATAGATAGTCCACAATTTCAAAGTAGTATAAGAACTATGGAGTACACATCTCCTCCTTAAATAAATTAAGAAGGTTAACATTTTAAAAGTGTTTTGTTTTAGTTGCCTAATTACTGTTTATATTTGGTTAAAATTTTTCTTACTTTGAGCCCATTAAAAAATATGCAATTTTTGACAAGATTTTAATGGACCTCAGGTGCCCAGAATTGAAATAATCATTTTTTTCTAATTAGAAGATTAACATCATTCAGTTGCACTGAGGAAACATTTGTTAAATATGTATGTGTGTATATGTACACATATGTATGTATATGCATACAAACACATGCTACTTTCTTGGTACTTGTCTATACCATACAGTATATATAACTTTATCATGTTGCTTTATATGTTCTGATTAAATGCAACATGGTAACAGGTAGATGAAAATTAAGAATTCAAAGTTTTGCATTTTAATTTAGATCAGTTCTGTGTGATTACATGAGTTTCAATTTCTCTAAAGTTTTTAGCATACTAAAATCCTAAATGTAAATTTTTAATTATATAAAACATTTTTTAAAGTAAAATTTTGGTTTTCAATAATTTTTGTAGTTTCTAAAAATTGCCTTTTTTATGTTGACTATAGAAATTTCTCAATGTGAGGAGGTAGAAATTTTAGTATACTTTAAGCTTGCCTACTTACTTGCAAGTAGTATATAGAGTTAGGAGATATTTGCTAGTATGTCAAAAAAACCCTATAATATTATACCTTAGTTATCTCAAATTTGGACATAACTGACTGGGAATTGACTCTTGCCTTTTTTTCCTAAACCAGTTCTCAATTGCTGCTTAATGATTGGAAACTGGTTTTTCTCAATTCAGTGTACAGCTGTGGCCTGCATAAAGGTCACTATCAATGTTTTTGAGGTTTCGTGTCCATAAGACCTGTCTAAAAAGTTTGTTTTTATTAACTTTGGAAAGGAGGTTCCCTTCCCTTGTGCAACAAGCAATTCCTGGGAACATTCTCAGCTGTGATCCCTCCACTACCAACCATCTCAGCAGACAGGATAGACATGTTGAAGGGGAATCTATTCTCCTCTATGACAGAGTTCTCTCCAACATTCCTATGTATTTGTAATATCTTGGATTGTTTTCCTACATAATTAGAGGTTTGGTACCTACAATACAGAAGTTAAGTTATACCTGCAAAGTATTAGGTCCTCAGGTCTGACTGGCATCTTTAGATACTCTCCTAAGTATGACTCAGTCTTTTCCTGCACATCTTTCTCAGTGCTCTCAGGATGCTTTCTACTCCCCACCCCTTCCTTCCTGTCATCAGTGGCTCGAACATTTTCAATTAACCTTTTTATTTTGAGGTAGTGTACATTTACATGTAGTTGAAAGAAATAATACAGAGACATCCTGTGTGCCTTTTACTCATTATTAAAAATCATGAGCTATATAAAATTGCACAATAAAAAATGCAGGGCTTATGAAGGAAAAGGGGTTTGGGGCACACACTAAAAACTTTATCAATGACATGAAAAAGAGATATAAAACTTGGTGCAGCCATTGTGGAAAACAGTATGAAATCTTCTTAAAAAACTAAAAATGGAACTGCCTTTTGACTGATTCCATGGCTGGGATTATACCCTAAGAACCCTGAAACACCAATCCAAAAGAACCTATGCATCCCGATGTTCATAGCAGTGCTATTTACAATATCCAAGTACTGGAAGCAACCTAAGTGCCCATCAGTAAATGAGTGGATCAAAAAACTGTGGTCCATTTACACAATGGAATACTATGCAACAGAAAGAAAGAAGGAGCTCCTACCTTTTGCAACAGCATGAATGGAACTGGAAACTGTTACACTAAGTGAAATAAGTCAATTGGTGAAAGACAAGTACTGTATGATGTCAACTATAAGAAGAATCTAATGGACAAAATAAACTAATGAATAAAACAGAACCACAGGAATGCAAAAATGAAACACTGACAGTGAGCAGAGGAGGAGAGGGAAGGGATAATGGTGGAAAGAAAGGAAAGGGACTAGACGAAGAACATATATGAGTGACCCATGGACATGGACAATGGTGTGGGGACTGACTGTGTGAGCAGGGAGTGGGGTGGGTAGAGGAGGGCAAAGGGGGAAAACTTGGGACAACTCTAATAGAATAACAATAAAAAATTATGTAATAAAAAAAGAAAAAGACCGAACCTAGGCCTAAAAGAAAAACAACAAGCTGAAAAATTGTAATGTAAAACATTATGGTTGTAATGCAAAAGTTATCATATTGATGAATATTTAGTAAATATTCATTTATTTTCCTAAGGAGGGAAAATAAAAATAAAGAATATCCAGTTAACTGGAATTTTATATGATAAAATAATTAATAATTTCTTAGTATAAATATATTCTAAGCATCACATATTTCACCGGACATACATTAAGACATTGTCATTTAAAATAAAAGATGTAAAACTAATAAAAAGATTAGCACAGTTTAATATCTTACACAGTCAAGAACAGCATAAATATTATGATAAATACAACTCTTTACCTTGAAAAAGACCTGAAGTTTGCTATGGAATCCATGTCACAAAGGTTACAGCTGTGAGTTAGTTGAGGTGGTAGAAGGAGGGGTATCTGAAATCAGAAAGCTGTAACACAGACCTGGTCTGTTTGTGTCAAAGCACACGATGAACTGAGGTCAATGTTAGATATCGAGGAATGTGCGTGCGCATTCTGTGTATTCCTCCATGGCTTGGTTCAGGTAGGTGCAGTTTTCTGTATTTAGCCAGTGATTTTCAAACTGAAATAACACATAAGAAACAAAATTTATGTATGTTCAAATTGTTTTAATATGTCTTTTGTGTTGGAACAAATTCATATTTTCTACATGGTTGTTCTCTTTTTCTCTTGGCACTTATTTTCCTTCAGTTGTTGCTCCGTGTTTACCACAAAACTCCTTCAGTGCAGCTGGGCTGTAGGCCAGGCTTTTGAAGACCTGGGTCACCCTGGCTTCCCGGAAGCCCTTTGAGAAAGGGGAAAAGTCAGTCTCAAAGTACTCAGTAATTTCAGTCTCCCTTCCACGGGTCATGTGCACTCGTGACCTTTATGTTGCTAGCAATATAGAGATCAAAACTTTTCTATGCCATGACTTTGTTCCAGCTGGCTCACATCCACAGTGGGAACCAAAAAAAAAAAGTGGTTTATCAGTTCTTTATCTGAATGTCATTGAAAATAGAACTTGCAGATGCACAGTCTTGAATAAAAATAGAAAATATTACACAGTTTCTGTGCCTTTACTATTATTTAATTTTAAAATACTTTGTTACAGAAACATAGCATTATTTATAATAAATTTTATATATAATTGATAACATAATAGCTACCATTTAATAAATGTTTAGAATGCACTGGTGTTTCATGTGAAGCTGTGTATAATAAATATATACCTCTCAGTTCAAATGCCTCTGTTAACCTGCTTGAAAGTTACAGATCTACCGTTCTATTCTAATGTCAATTAAGAGTTTTTCCCAGAAATTTTGTTTAATTCAAATTAACTCTTAGAGTTCTTTCTCTGTGAAGAATTCTACAATGTGAAAGCTGTATTAGTTTCATTTCTTTAAGTTTGTGAACTTTAAAGATAAAGAAAATCCTGTCTCGTTTCTCCTTATTTTTCTGCAGCGTTTATCCAATGGTTCTATAGACTCAACTGATGAAACCAGTCAAATAGTTGAACTACAAGAATTGCTTGAAAAGCAAAACTATGAAATGGCCCAAATGAAAGAGCGTTTGGCGGCCCTTTCTTCCCGAGTGGGAGAGGTAGAACAAGAAGCAGAGACAGCAAGGAAGGATCTCATTAAAACAGAAGAAATGAACACTAAATATCAAAGGGACATTAGGGAGGTAAGTGATTCATAACACCTTCAGTCTTCCCAAATGCTCTCTCTGAGACGCTTTGTCCAGAATCGCCCCTAGTGACGACACTCTTTACATCTCAAAAGACCATTATGTGGGATCTATTATGTTAATTATGAAACTCGCTCATTAAGGCAAAAATTGTTTACTTTAAATATATATGGAAAGAAATTTTGATATCAAGTCTCATATAATAAAAAGTATCTACAGTTTGTAAAGATTTAAGAAAACATTGAGCTATTCATTTTACACAACACCAGATGTATATATAATGAATTGCTATGCTCTCAGATATGGGGCTACTTAAAGACATTATTTAAAATTTTTCCTTTTCATTTTGAGTTTGTGTCTATGAGTGTGGATGTGTAAGTTTGTGAGAACCTTACTCTTTCTATATATTCTATTCTTGCTAGACTTAACATCATGTTATATATTGTAAAAAGAGAGCACTGGGAAGTTACTACAAAAGACACAATGAGATCATTTATTAGTGACATTGTTAAATCATCTTACCAGCTAAGATAAAAAGTTTAGATTTTTTCAGTTTATTCAATTAAAAAGAAAAATTTATTTATGAAAATTTTATTTTGTGAAGTCTCTATTTTATACATTTCTTTAAATTGTATGTATTTATCTCTTTACATTTTTTGTATATAATTAGCTAGTTGTTATTGGTGTTGACCCTACTCTATGTACCCATTTCTTTTCTTTGTATTTTTTCTTGAGCCTGCCTTATCATATTTTTTATTCATTGTCTTATCAAAACTGTTCTTATCCAAGTTGTCACTGAACTCATGTTGTTGAGTGTAGGGGTCACTTCTCAGTTCTTTCAGGCACTTGACCAGCCAGCACTCCCTGGAACACTTTTTCACTTAACTATTAGCATACTACATGCTCCTGATTTTCTTCCAGTTTACATACTACTCCCATTTCAGTCACCTGTGCTTGACCAGCTTCCTGCCCAGTCTTGGAGTGCCTTCCTTTCTCAACCTACCTGTGCTCCCTATGTTTGTGAAGTCTCATGTCACCCATTGACTTATTTAAATCTCCAGCCTATCTTTCTCTCCTGACGTTCAGATGCCTGTATCTAAATCTCCAATTGGGTATCTCAAAATCAGATTCCTCAAGATTATTTTCCTGATATTACCTCAGGAAGCCAGACTTACTTGCAGTTTTACACATCTCAGCTGATGGCAGCCCATTATTATTGCTCAAAAAACCCTTGGAGCTGTCCTTGGTACCGTCTCACCCACACACTGCATTCAGTTCAGTTGTAAATCCAATTAACTTGCAACCTCACTATATCTCTGTAATGTGAACTCTTCTCACATCTTCCATGGCTCTTCCTTATTCCACAGAACCATGATCCTTCAAAGGATTGTTGTAATAGTTTCTAATCAACACAGTAGCCTGAGTAATCTGTTAAAATGTGTCAGCTAAAGTCATTTTTCTATCCTGCTTGCATTAAAACTGAAGTCCTTGCAGGGGCCAACAAGCCACGTGCTACCACCACTACCATCCTACTGGCACTCTGGAACTCATGTCCTTGTCTTTCATTTTATCCCACTCTATTCAGCTAAGGCGACCTCCTAAACAAGCCAGACCTCTTCTGTCATGTTCAAAAAAATCTTTGTTGAGAAAGTGAGTATTTATAGATGTTTGATGTAAACATCAAAAGGCATGGATAGGATTAGAATATATCCTAAAACAATGTCTGCTCTGTCAAAAAAAGACACATGACTCATGAAGGGGGAGATTGCTCTGGCACCGCACTGATAAAGAGTATGCTCTCTACACCCTTATGTGAATTACCAGTTTTTAGATATGTCCCTTATCTCCATTCTTCCTCACAGGTGAAACTCAGAATTTATAAAGTAAATAAATTTAACCTCTCTTCTATATCACTGTTAAGGAATACCAAGATTTCTGGCTAGTAAACCACCAAAGGCATTTCTTGACCTCTTGCTCATTCTGTGTTTCTTTATTCTCTTAGTCCTAGAGATTTAGCCTTTTTCCTTTCATTTAACACTCATCTATTTTACTCATGCTTATTTAATCAAGGGTCATGGGTGGAGCCCAGTATCCCCAGCTCCCCCATTCTCATTGCTGATGTAAAAATAATCATTTGATTCTAATGGTCTTTGCATGTAGGTAACAAAAAATTCAATTATCTGACACCTGGTGTTCTGTTACTGGGAATCCCTCGTACTGGCAGAAGGTGTTCGGCCTTCACACGAATTCTTTTAAAATATAATAACTACTCTTATCAGCACTATAACTTCTATGTATTTGTACTTTAGAAGAGTCTCATAAGAAAAGAATATCTCTCATCACTCACCTTTGAAAGGAGGTTGCAAACACCAATGCTTTCAGAGTCAGGCAGGCAGTATAAATGAGTGAAATGCCCAGTGTGGAATAGAGAAAAGTGATCAAGTTCATTCAACCAGGGCAGACATCCTATACTCTGCCTGTCTTTCTGGTAGCATCATGTGTGCGTGTGTGTGTGTGTGTGTGTGTGTGTGTGTGTGTGTGTGTGTGTTAAGGACACAGTGAAGGTCAAATAAAATATTTTCAAAAAGTTTCAAGACACAAGCCATAAGCTCCTGGTTTGCTGCTAAGAATGTCTTGAATACCAACCATGAAAAATATTCTAGGTTTACTATATCTAATTTCTCTAACTCCTTACAACTGTTCAATAGAGAAGATTCTTGTCATTACCCTCATTTTTCTCAGGAGACGAATCTAAGGCTTAGTGAAGTGAAGTGACCTGTCCAAGGCCTATGCACAGCCCTTCCCATGCCCTCAGGCCCCAGTACTAGAAAAATGCAGGACAGGCCTGGCTTGGAAACCTGTACTTTTTCCACACTGAGAAGCTTCCCAAATCAGAGAGATACAGTCATTACTTAAGTGATAGAAACTGTCACAAAAAATGTAGCAGTAATATAATCAATCTTTTGGTCACTTTTCCCAATAAATAAGAAGATATAAAAATCACATACTTAAAAAAGGTATCATTTACTCGCATTCAAAGCCCTAAACTTAGCTTTTGTTTTCCTGAATAATAATGGGCTGTGGTCACACAAAATCTGCTAGATTGCAAGTATTTTAGTAGAAAAAAATTAACATGATTTTTCTTGCTACCCTTGTAGCAAGAAAATATATGATTTATATAATAAATAAGCAATAAATATTTATTGAATTAAGAAAAATCATAAAATAGGAAAAACTAACCATATAACTAAAAATCGATATGTATTGTACTTTATATGTGAGAACACTGTCACATATAATATAAAATAAATATAATTTAATTATTCTAAAAGAATGAATATAATTATACCTAAAATAAATTATGTAAGTATGTTTCATTAAGGGTTTTAAATGATAGTTTTGAAATTATTCTTTGTCAATAAATAAATCTGTCCAAAATTTATTTTCATATGAAGTTTCGTTTTAGTTGCTCCATAAAGTGATTGTGGCCTTCTAGAGGAAGGAGGCTGGATGGAGTCTAGACACAGCATACCTGTTAGAAGACGTAGACGAGCTCCATCCTTAGTGTTGGGAAGGCGTTTTTAAGAGCAGCTATTGCTGGATATCTTCAGGTGTTTGATACAAAAGTACAGTCAGAGGGTTCAACTAAAACCTGTTTGTCTTGCAATATTTAAACAGAAAATGTTCAGGACAAATCCAGAGCTCTGGCTGGTGTGGCTCGGTGGACTGAGCACTGGCCTGCGAACCAAAGGGTCGCTGATTTGATTCCCAGTCAGTGCCTGGGTTGCGGGCCAGGTCCTCAGTTCGGGGTGTGCGAGAGGCAGCCTCACATTGAGGTTTCTCTCCCTCTCTTTCTCCCTCCCTTCCCCTCTCTCTAAAATTAAATAAAATCTTTTTTAAAGAAGAACAAATCTAGAAAGCTACTAACATGCAACAATGTAGGAAAGTTATGTGTTAAAGCCTTAGTTTTCAAAAGTAAAAAAGAAAAATAAACAAAAAAACCCCCAGAAAAAATAGTAAACATAGACAGCTCCATGACAGAAGTTTAGCTCTCCACTTCTTATCGAGAAGGCTACTAATCACGTTTTGGAAATAATATTTCAGTAAATATGTAGATATGCAAATAGTTAGAATATCCTATGAGTTATTTAAATTAAGTTTGTTTTATGAATACAACCAATTAATCTTTCCAACTTCCTATTAAAAGCTCCTTAGAAGATTGTTAATTGGTTAAATGAACTTGTCTTTTCTATTATTGAAACATAGAGTTATATCTTCACTGTGCCAGCTCTATAGTTATATTTATTTGATATAATAAAATTCAGTTTATACATAAATGTCAGGTCAAGAGATAATTGAATCACTCCTCTGTTTTCCCCTTTTTAAACAGCAATTTTCAGGGACTAAAATAGCATCCATTTTTAGAAATTCCAAGTGACACATAGGGAAAAGATATTTTTTCAACTTGTAAATTCAAAATTTATTTTTGTCAACACAGCCTGTAGTTAAAAATTGAATCTCCCGCATGAATCACTGACTTGAAAATGCAGTACCAAAGTCACCTACAATGACTCCTGTGTTTAATGTATGGCATAGAGTCATATCAACTAATTGTAGGCATAATATTAATTAATAATAAAAGGTAGATGTGATTTATTGAGTGAGTTTTCTGCATGAAATATAATGCGAAACATTTAAACACTGTTACAAACATACCTCAACAATGTTATGTGGTAACAATATCTCATACAAAGAAAAGGGGTGTTGTTAACATTGTAGCATTTACATAACAACAGATAATATGTATGAAAAACTAGGTTTGGAGCGAGTATGTACTACTTCAGGATTCATGTTCTGAAGAAGACTACGTATGCCTTTAACTGAATTTATTGCTATTATAATTTACCAAGAATCTTATATACGCAGGCTAGATTCAGACTTCTCTTTGAGCTAAGAAATTGGCAAAATATGTCCTGGCTAGATAGCTTGGCTGCTTAGAACATCACGCTGATATGGCAAGGTTGTGGGTCTGATCCCCAGTCAGAGCACAGTCAGAAATCAACCAATGGAGCATAAACAAGTGGAACAAATCCTTATTTCTGTCTCTCTCATTGCTCTCTCTCTAAAAAGCAAGACATTTTTAAAAATTATTTTAATTGACAAAATATTCAGGGTTCTATATGAAAAAGATATTAAAAATGCAATATTAACAATTATATGCATTCTGAAGAGATCCTCTAAGATAAATACTCTACCATTATTATACTAAAAATTAATATTAAATAGAAAAAGTCAAACTGTAAAATAAGAGCTTTTTGAATAGAAATTATTTTGGGGGATGGCTAAAATCTAGTGCTGGGTACCTAATGTGAAAAATATATTAATATGAATGTTTTACTGCCAAATTGATCAGTTAATAAGATTTTATACATTTGAACTTAATAATAAAGTAATTAAGCAAGTAATCTTTAATTGGGCTTTGAAGGTCAGCAAGATTAAGCTAGACAAAGAAGACAACAAAAATGCATTCCGGATGGGAATGAAGTCACAGAGTATATTAGTTTACTGGGGCTGTTGTAACTAATAATTACCATAAACTAGGGGGCTTAAAACAACAGTAATTTATTCTCTTGTAGTTTTGGAGGCTATAAGTTCAAAATCAGGATGCCAATAGGGCGGTATTTCCTCTGAAGACTCTAGTAAAGAACCTTTGTTTGCCACTTCTAGCTTCTTGTGGTTACTGGGATTCCCTTGTGTTCTTAGCTCATAACAGTATAACTACAATCCCTGTCTCCCTCTTCACCTCGCCCTTCCTCTGTGTATCTCTGTGTCCCCAGGTCTCCGTCTCCTTATAAGAATACTAGTCCTTGGATTTAAGGCCCACAGTAATCCTGTATGACATCATCTTAACTTGATTACTTCTGCAGAAACTTCTTTGCAAATAAAGCCAAATTTATATATCCTAGGTAGAACTCGAGAGGAGAGGACATGATTCATTCCAGTACATAGAAATAAAGAAGTATCAGGTTAAACAGCTACTTCTTTTCTAGGTTTTGTAGCTCAGATTTTATATCAAAAATGCAGAGGAGCACATTAAGCCAAGATGCAATATGATCAGATTGACATTTAGAATGGTCTTTTGGTAAGTAAGATAGAGAATCAGTAAGCAGGAAAAAAGACCGAGAGGAAGATGACCGGTTGGGTTATGAAGTGAGAGTTAGCGTGAAGAAATTTCCGAGAATGACCCTGAATTTCTGTGGAGAGTGCCGGCTGTCATTCCATAGCCAAGTGGTCCAAGAAGAGCTGACTTGTGGATAGACAGGGTGACTAAGGACTACATGTCGAGTTGTAAGGTAGATATATTACTTATATTCAATTTTGTTATGATATATTAATGACTTAAGTCAAATAATATTTAACTAAAACACACACAAATGCATACACACACAAATATGCGCACACATAAATACCTCCACCTACCTCCATCTCTTTTCCTGAGAGTCTTAATTTTAATCTTTTTAACCATTATTTCTTGTGTTTTCTCTATTATTTAAGTTTAATCCATGTATTTGGATCATATTATATGGAAATTTTTGGTCTCATATTCTCTCCCTTACTATCTCTTCCCATCCTTTCACTATAATTATCTCAGAATCACATTGTTACCATTAGTACGATTATGCAAATAATCTCCAAAACTGATCCAAGTAGGAGTTTCCTATGATAGTATTTCCTTTTGTTATACAGCTTTCTGCTTTCCAGCATTTTATTAATTATGATATATTAACTTGCTTATTAATCTTGAACCCTCTGGAAAATCTCACCAACTCTGATAGCTTGGCATAATTTCATAATTTCAAATTATGGTCAATGGTGAAACAGATCATTTATCATTCATATTTTTATTTTCTCCAAATAATCCCTTTTCCTCTGCCTTTTCTCTCTGCTCTATACCAGCCTCTTTGTAAGCCTGTTTTCATTTTTGAGGGATTTGCCTCTACTGTCTCCTGGGAAATCCAGGAGAAAAGAATAATCAAGTTCCCTAAAGAAGAAAAAGCATAAAACTGAGATCACAGATAGTTATTCAACTTTGAGAAAAGGGGATACCTGTTATAAAATAATTCCCACATGGTGGTGAGGGAGATTGGGAAGTTGAAGGACTCTCTGTTTCGGATCTTCTATTTCTTTTGGAATATTAGAAGAAAATTTGTCTACTGGTGGGTGTGACAGGATTGGCCCTGGATTCTGGAGGAGATAACAGAGAGATTAGGAATCTAATCAAAGGATCTGGATAGTGACCTGTGGAAACCACCAACATCCCTTGATTTCAGGCTGTTTATGCAAAGCAGCTCCCCACACTGTCAGGGTACCACACCAAGCCCACTGAGGCTCACTTCTGCAGCTGACTTTTGCCAACATCACCTTAAAAGGTAGGTTATATACCTACTAATAAATTCCCATGTAATCTTTTAGGAGGACAAAATTATCTCCAAATTATTTATGAATTAGATAGTTTTAAATATTATCAATGCAACACTTTTACTGCATTTGCACCAACACTTAACTTTTTTTTGACAGAGTTTTGTGTTCATTTAGTAGTTTAAATTTTCTCTATTTGGAATATGTGTAACAAGAGAAATGATTAAGTTCCAAAGTCAAAAGGTCAATTTATTTATGCATAAGATTCAATTTTACCTTTTTTTTGCCTCCTTTTTAAACTATTGAGTTACTCTTCTTATTTATGAAGATGAAAATCCTTATTTGAAGTTTGCTTTGCAGTTTTATACTGTATCTACCACTTCACCAATTTTATGACATGTAACTCTACCTAAAATTGTACTTACCTCTACTGTGTAATGAACTAGTTTATCTGCCCCATCTTTTCTAAGAATGCAAACTCTAAGGTAGGTGGTTTCGAATATACTCTGATGCATTCTCAGAGAAAGATAGTCTTTGGTTAATCCAAGATGTAGAGATAATTCCGACAGATGAATTGGGAAAACTCACATGAATTGGGAAATCTTACATTTCTTCCATGAAAATAAATAATTGACAGATACCTCAAGAAAGCAATGTTTTTTATATATTACTATTTTATTTAAAGATAAAGATAATACATCAAGCTATCTGAGAATCTGAGTTGAAAATTTTTGTTATTTTAATTGTAGGCCATGGCACAGAAAGAAGATATGGAAGAAAGGATCACAACCCTTGAGAAGCGTTACCTCAGTGCTCAGAGAGAATCTACCTCCATACACGACATGAATGATAAACTAGAAAATGAGTTAGCAAATAAAGAGGCCATCCTACGGCAGGTTCGGTATCTCTATGTTGGTTTTGTTCTGGTTCATGTGTGTGTTCTCTCCATTCTCACAAAGTCTGAAGTGAATAAAATATGTTATTTCTTGACAGTCAATCTCATTCTCTAAAATTTAGAGTGAGGTGAACTAAACAGATATGCTTTTCAGTATGTAATTTAGAAATTTGTTTTCATAATAATAAAACTAATGACTAATATTTACTTTGGATCTAAACACAAACCAGAAATGATGCTGAACAGTTTACATATATTACCTCATTTCAATCTAACCACCACCTGTGAGTTAAGCACCTTCGATATCCTAAGAACAGTAAGGTTCAGGGACATAAACACTTTCCCAAGACCACAAAATTGGCACTTGCCAGGGTCTACAGTAGAAGCCTAAGTCTATTCCACTCCAGAGCAGGAGTGGGCGAGCTGTGGCCCATGTATCAAAACTATGGCTCTGTTTTACAAATAAAGTTTTATTGAAACATAGTCATGCCCATTTATTTAATTATTGTCTACTGCTACAACAGTAGAATCAAATTGTCAGAATAGAAACTGTATGATATACAAAGTCTAAAATATTTATTACTTGGCCCTTCACAGAAAAAGTCTGCCAACTCCATCTCTAGAGCCTTACCTCTTAACCATCATGATTCATTATCTCTTCCTCTCCTGCTAACACTGTGATTTTCAATATTTTGCTCTCATGGTATATCTGAAGTGTTAGTACTAAGTGGTATTCCATTTGTCCAAATATATATTCACTATTAACTAATTTTCTTTTTGCTGCCATTGGTAAGATCTCTTCTCTTTTTAATGTGCCGGATTGTATTAAGGCATGTGGATAAATGATATCTAAAAACACGAGGACAGTCATCTTTTTGCATGGTAGGTGTGGTAGCTGATTTTAAGTCTAGGATCATGGCTGAAGTCCAAATCTCCTAGTGCCTGGTGTTTGCTGTCCTAACTGTGACTCTTTAAGTGTCTCCTTTCCATCCCTATTTCAGATGGAAGAGAAGAACAGACAGTTACAAGAGCGTCTTGAGCTCGCTGAGCAAAAGTTGCAGCAGACGATGAGAAAAGCTGAGACCTTACCCGAAGTAGAGGCTGAGCTGGCGCAGAGAATTGCAGCCCTGACAAAGGTACGGCCACAAAACAGTTGGTCAGCCCAGATGCGTTCATGGAAATGACTAGTAATCAAAATGGATTCTATGAAGATTTTCTTTAGGCTCTATGAACATTGTTTATTTCATCTTTATTAATTGGTTTCTTATTTAGGTGAATTTTTCATATTGTACATATCTTATTTATTCTGACATGAATGATTCATATATGAGTATATGATTCCCTTGCCTATTTAAACATTAACAAAAACAAACAAAATTCCATGTCCTTTTAGTCCTTTTACTAATTTTCCATGGTAGTATTTATATACAAGAGTAATTATTTAATATAAACACATAATAATATTTAATATGTATATACATGAAGATAGTAATCTAATAGGCTTAACATAAATTGGTATTAGCAATGTATGAAATATCATAAAGAGTTGATTCCTTTCTGATTATAGTAGGAAAAAATTTTAGAAGTTGAAAGTTAGATTTGTAGAAGTCTAAAGTCTATAGCCATTAAAAAGTCAGAAAGTTATTTTAGTAGATGTAATTTCTTGTGAGTCAGTTAAAATCCATAGTGTGAAAAATGCTCAATAGTATCTGTCATGATACAGCCATTATATTCTGCAATTATCTACATATTTTAGGTTTTGCAACCATTACAGTGTTTAAAAAACTGTTATTACCTTTAACACTCAAGTGGAAATGGCATTACTTCAAAGTGTGTGTGCGTGTCACTAGAATAAAAGTTCAGATTTTGTTACTGGCAGCATGTTTCACTTTTAATATTAATTCAAAGCACACAATTGTTACTAAGAGCTAAGTTTTCCACTCCACTGCAGTAAGTGGATGAGAAAGATATATGAACTGTAAATTACAAATTTGACAGTATAAAAGTAGGCATACATACTTGCATTCCTGAAAAAGTAGTTAATTGAAGAACAAGAAGAGTAGACTGATGCCTGTTAGTTAAGATAGGGAAGTTAATCAGGTAGTAAAAAGGCAAACATTTGACAATGTACTTCCAGGTTAGAAAATATTGGAATGGTTGGTTATCTATAGAGTATAGGAGTAACTAGCTGAATAAACATCAGTCTGATTAGAGTGTTGTTATGAACTCAATTCTTCTGTAGTCACAGATCATTCACTAAACCCCTCCAGCAATTCCAAGAATGTCTAATTGCTAAGATAAAAATAAATGTATAATTTTAGACCCAACTGGTGTGGCTCAGTTGGGTGGGTGTCATCCCACAAAGAGAAACATTGTTAATAATATTCTATTTTTTCTTTTGAAGATATTTTAAATTACTACAGTATGGATTAAGATATGTACATTTAGTCTTTTTATCTGAGGAACATAAAAGCTTTTATAGTTATTTTACTGAATTGAATTATTTTAGGGGGAGTTAGGTGGCTAAATAGTAAAAAATAACTTTTGTAAAATTTTAGTGTAAAATAATCATCAATATTATACTGAGTAAAATACGGGAAAGTTTAGAATCTTTTCCAGAGAAACATGGTTTAAACTTCTGCAAAGAATTGGCCCAAATTAACCTCTGATAGACTGAGAAGAAAACATAATTTAAAATGTCATACTTTACTTATGAGGCTTTAACATTCATGAGAATTCTTAATTTAGTGTGGTAGACCCTGTCCAGCAGAGTCCACCTGTTGTAGCTGATGACGAGAATCCATGTACAGGTGACAACAACCCTGTGGGGAAAAAGGGAACAGGCACGACTACTCTCTCAAGGGGAGAGTGTCTAAGGTGCCTCGGCCACTCCCTCAAGAGGGGAGCACCCCAACCCTTGCCTAGACAGGCTTTTATTGTTTTCCTGGGGTCTTACATCAGAGAAAGATTTATTATCTGATAATAAATCTTTTATTATCAGATAATAGAATATTATTGTCTACATTTTACATAGATATAGAATATTATTGTCTACATTTTAGGTACAATTAAGGAAATGAAAATAACACACAGAGGGGAATGGCAATGAGCTGATTAGCTCTGTCTTTGTGAAAATTCACACAGGCTTTGGGAATTGCCTTGAAGATAGACAATATACATCTGTTGCTTTAGACCAGGGTGAGGGAGTTTTAGCAAGAGCAAGCCATAACAGTCTGTATGCATTTTCTAGGACTGATTCCTACAGGAAAACTCGATTTGAAGGTCTGGCTCCTGCCCACCACTTGGCTTCTGTAGGTTTTCCATACAGAGCTGAGTCACATTTGTCAGATCAAAACAAACCAGTCCCCTACAATTCAGAACTTTTTTTTTTTTAAAAACTTGATAGCTGTCTGGGCTTTTTTGCCTTTTGTTTTATCCTCTGAGGCTCTTATTGTGATACATATCTTCACTTGTGTACCCAAAATAATTTCCTCAGTTTACTCCTAATATACGTAATATACCTAATAGTATATTGCTGAAATGTACTTCATCTGGACCCTTTGATTTCTTCATTTTTCAGTAGAATTTTTTTCTTTTAAAAAAGCTTTTTAAATGCTAGAATTTATTCTGCTTCTCATTCTTACCGATTTCTTTTCTGTCTGGCTGTATATCCATGACAGCATCTCAGACATGCAGTTTTCAAAAGAATGCTGTGTGTAAGTCATTGTACGCAGTCCTCCAGTGCTTAGATGTCAACCCTCCCTCTGCCTGTACCATTTTTATAACATTTGAAGATCACTCTTTCATTTGTTCTCCCAAGTTTTATGGCTGCAATAATCATATATATATATTTTTGCCCTCTGCTCATCCTTTAGGGAATGCCTCCAGATCTGCTTTATTTATTTATTTTTTGAATTTCAAGTAATTTTAATATCTCATTATTGATCATCATTGTCTTTTTCTACTTAATATTTTTGACTATTAAAAAAAGTTAAAAGATTTCTGCCTATTTCTAACCAAGTTTCCTCTCTCCTATATTTTGAATAGCATTCTTAGCGATCCCTAAGACATTTTATTTGGTATGTATGTATATACCAAATAAATATAAATATATATATACATACATACATGCATATATAATTTTTATTGTCACCTGCTTATGTTTTCTTTTCTTTGGCTATTCTCTCTTTAGTTTCTTGCCCATTTCCAAATACCTCCGCACTCTTTTCAAAGGTATTTCTGCCTATGCAATTTTTTTCCAAAACTGTAGCTCACTTGGAATTGTGTGTTACATTAAAGAGTGAGCACAAGATAAACCCTATGTCCCACGAAGGAGTATAAAAAATAGCAGGTTGTACTTGTGTGACCTCTTGTTTTTAGCAGTTGCTTACACTGCATTCTTTACAAGGATAAAGTGATCATAAACTGATGGTGGTAGACAGTTGATCCCAGTGTTTTTAGAAGTGATGTCTGAATCTATTCTTTGGTTAAGACTATCTCTTTTTCTTCGTGTATGTGTGTGTGCGTTCATGTAGATAGGTAGGTAAACCTCATTAGTTTTAGAAAATCAGAAGTGTGACTATGGATAAAACAAAAACTATAGCTTTTGCAGGTATATATACAATTAATTAATAAAAATTTGGGGTTCCCAATCTTATAATTTATCATGTTTACTTCTTTAATTAAAATTCATATTCCCTCAGCAAAGACATGATTCATCTTAAATTTCATAAGGTATTTTATTTATTTTTAGCATGAATAAAAAGCTCAGCAATAACATAGTAATTTAAACATGATTGAATTCTTGCTCATTCTCTGACATGAATTTCCACAATATTTTGGTGTCTTTTGAGTAGTTAACATGGAAGCAGGTAGAAGTTTTAAGTACCTTGAAAGATTTACTGGATGTTACTTGCATTTTTGGAGATACAATTTTAGAAACTGAAACAGTTATGTCTTGACTACCTTGAATCAGTCACCTAATTAATTTGCATACCACTGTTAAATTATACTTTTGAGAGATTACAGATAACTATGAATTTAGATTATGTAATATCAACAACAGCTCGACCCACCTACTGTATTCTTAATTTAATTCTAAGTTTCAAATGCTATTATAAAACCATTTTATGGCATTTGGCGACAATGATAGCTTTTCATGTTTTTTATACTTGAAAATTTGAGGAGATAATTTTATTATTATTTCTTTATTTTCCCTATTTATGATATGAGAATATCAGAAGAAAAATTAAAAACAGTAAATGTTGAACTATAACTTGCATTAGCACACCAGTCAAATATTAAGTGTTATTTCATAGATTCAAATGAAATTTCTTGCATAAAATAGTACAAATATATATGAACCAATACATTAATAGGTTACCATTTCTTTTCAGGTACTGCGTGATGTATTTAAATATAGTTCTATATTTGCATAGAAAAGTTTCACTGTTTTAGCATAAACTTATAAACATATGAAATGTAATAATAGAATATGCTCTGGAGTTAAATTCTGTAGTCCTGACATAGGATACTTTTGATGTTATAATTATAATGTTACTTGTAATGATGATGAAAATGTTTCTGTAACTTTACATGTAACTTACGTATAACATACTAATGTGGTTCCGCTATCAGCAATGTCACATGTGTTAAACAGTCTGCATCTGTGGTAACCTGACAGCCATCCCTGAGACATGTAACTAACCTTGGCACTGGAGAAACTAGCTCACTAAGGCAAGATGCTACCTGTACACTTCAGGGCACTGTTTTGTTTCCACAACAACACATCAATGCAGAAACAATTTTGGAGTAGTCACTAGTATCTTTCAGGACAGTCCACAGATAATTTCTCACAGCATTATTATCACTTTAATAATTTGAAGACTTTTAATAATATTCACTTAAAAGTTCAGATTCAGACAATATCTGAGAATAGGTGCTAAGGTTCTAGAACTAGAGCCACAATGTGTGTTCAAAGCCAAAAAGTCATTTTGTGTTTGCTGCTGTTGCTGAGGAAACTGAATCCTGCTTGAATTAGATGATACTACTAATAATTAACCCTGCGGCTTAGCTTTTCCTCTGATTTCTACAGAGTTGAGTTTATAATAAATTTTATTCCAAATTTATTTCACCTGAGTCATTGCATTAGTATATTCTTCAACATTGTTTCCATTATTTTTAGGTAATATGATGAACAAACAAGCAAACCAAAATACAAACCTTTTAACAACCTATCAGAGACATATTCTAGTGTTTGGTTTCTCATAATTCCAATTATTACATGACTCTTTCAGAGTTGCTTTAATTAATTCTGTAGTGGTCTTTCATTGCCCGCCATCACTAACCTTCCATACCTTAGGATGGTAGCTTTTTATTTGAACATATCATTGTTTTTCGATTATAACCATCAACTGCATCATGTTCACCAGATATCGGTGTAACTTTTTCCACATGAGATTTTGTCTATTGAAGTATTAAATTTGCTGTCACACTTTTCTTTTAAGCATTCTGTGCTGTGTTCTGTTCAGCGTCAGTGTCTTTAGTTCTGATTTTTCAATTTTGTCCCTCTCCTTTTCCTTGACTCGTTAGTCTGATCCAACCTCTTCTACCTCATCTGATGATTATCAATATGTTATGGAAGCTAAACTACAAGAAATGATCTCCATACGTAGGAAGGTAGTCCTACTGGACTTTACTTTCTATTGCTAAATAGAATCCATCTAAGTTTTTATTTTCTTTTATAAAAATTATGTTACTTTTATTTATTGATAATCGACCATCCGTGCAGTTCAGTGCTTCAGGAGCTTAAGATTGGACAATGGCAGGTTTGTTTTCAAACCATGCACAGTCTGCATGTTACATTTGGCTGACTTCATTGCTCATAAATAACTCCGATGTTTTGCTGATGCTTGGATGTAACAGGCCTTTGTAGCTGACACATTTCAAGCAATGCTGTTCAGCTGCCTGTTTAAATAAAGTTTCTTTTTTGAAAATTACATTTGCAGTTGGTAGTAGCTTGCTTTACATTTTATTTCAATTTATTTAGAGGAAAAGTATTCATCAAATCTTACATGTCAGGTACATTCTTCATATTTCTTAACAGGCTGAAGAGAGACATGGAAACATTGAAGAACGTATGAGACATCTAGAAGGTCAACTTGAAGAGAAAAATCAAGAACTTCAGAGAGTACGTACATTAAGAACCCCCCTCAATGATCTGTTTACAAATTTATATTATACATGTAAGAAATGGACATCTTTCTTGATTATGGATTATATTTATAAAATGATATGAGTATGCCCTGTGCATTTTAAAGAAAAAAATTCTAACAATTTAATCAAAATAAAACATAAAAGTAAATTCAATTTTCAAACTAGAAAAAGTATAAAAACAAACCCAGATATTTTTTAAATTATGTCAAATTTATTTATTGTTATTCTTGAACTTCAGGCTAGGCAAAGAGAGAAAATGAATGAGGAGCACAACAAAAGGCTATCCGACACTGTGGACAGACTTCTGACTGAATCCAATGAGCGCTTACAGTTGCACTTAAAGGAAAGAATGGCCGCTCTGGAAGAGAAGGTAAAACAGCAGAAGGGGCCCATGAACAGTGGTGTTCTTACACATTTGTTGTGTACCTGCTGTAATCATTATATTGGTCAAATGAGTCACTGGCTTTCCTTAATAGCAAACATATGACTGATATTCCTTGAGGTGAATGAACAGTTTTTGTAAAAATGTATGAGATCCATTTTAAATAAATATTCTTCATAGTCTATAAATCTTGCATATCAACATGATCATATGAGGCAAGTGTATTAAAATATGCTGTGTTTTTGTAATAAAAATATTTCATTTATCTTTGGTGTGGTATTCAAAAAAGAAAAGTGATAAGACAAAAATAATTATGTTGGGGTGTACTTAGAGGCTTGTTTTGAACTGTCCAAATGTTTCAAGGAACTGGATCTATTACTGATCTAAAATCCAAAATCTGATTGAGTTTATATCACCAGTGATGTGAATTCCACTGTAGAATTTAGGCATGCAATATTTTTAGCTGTATTGTTTTTTTTAAAAAGTGTTTCTGCACAGTCTGCTATTTTATTCATAATTACATACATATCATTGAGAGCTGGCAGCTACCAAACTAGCAAGTTCTGTGAGCTGTTTGACCATTATAGTTTATAAATAAAGAGAAGTCTAAAACCTAGGTGTACAAATCATTTTGGAAGTTTAGATTGAATACCAGTCACTACTTAAGTTAGACATTTTCCCCTGCCTCATCCAATAAACCAACATAGGAAAAATGTTTTGATAAAATGTTAGAAATATTTTGATTAATTTACCCATTAAGACATCATAAGGCTTGACTACTTTCCATTCAACTCTAAATTCACAGCCATTATGCCAATTACTATAATCTTAGTTCAACTTTACTTTGTAAACTTGAAAACAATGTATTGTTTCAAAATTATGCTTCATAGTACTATGAGAAAATTATAAATCTTTTACAACAATAATATTTTTATGGTAAAGGTCTTTAAAAATATCTATGTTGCAACTTATTTTCCTATGTCATGATGTGTAACATTAGTTTTTTTTAATTGATAAAATTTCATTTTTATTTCTCTAAAAACTTAATTAGCATAGAAATTGCTAATTCTGTATTTGAAATATAAGTCCAGTAATTAAATGTTTAAAAAACATAATCTTACTATTTCTTTTTGTATTGGATAATAGTAATTAGTTCATCTGAATTCTTTATCAATAATATATCTGGCTAATATTAAGCTTGTAACTCACTCTTTCTTATTTGAAAGTAGCCTAATTATTCATAGCTTTAGGCCAAGAGAAGGCAAATAGAAATGTAAAGATAATATTGAGGCCATTCGTCAACTCAAATGTTACAAAATAACAAAATATTTAAATTATGTATTTCTCAAAATGTTAAAGTGTCACGTTTCCAGATTCCACTGAAGCATGGTTTCTATCAAACCAATACATAGATGCATCAAGGAAGAAATCAGTTAAGATCTGGAGGGATAAAATAATAATGTCCATATTTTCTTATTTTCTGTTTAATTTATTAATTATTTCTGTTTTGTCCTCTTTTGCAGAATGTCTTAATTCAAGAATCAGAAACTTTCAGAAAAAATCTGGAAGAATCTTTACATGATAAGGTATCATGAAAACTTACACTTTGCCCATTTTTTAAATTTTATATTGGGAATGTTTTGTAAAATAAATATCATGAGAAATAATTTTAAGATGTCTTTTTTTTTTATATTATACCTACAAAACTGTACATATACAGGGAAAGCCTGATAAATTTTTTTATCAGACTTTCACCACATTTTCATCAAACTGTGATGGAACACACTAAAAATCAACACTCTGGGATCCCCACTTCTGTTAACTTATGCAACACTCTTGCACTAAAGGGCAATCTCTAGTTTGACTTCTTACAGAAAAAAATGGTTTTGACTTCTTTGTGCTTTATATAAATGAAATTTAAAATGCATACACAAATTTGTGTCTAGTTTGAGATATCCTTTTAACAAAAATGTATTAAATACCTATTATGCATAAAAATTGTTAAGTTATATATTTTCAAACCTAATCCTACTTGCAAAGTAGCTGAACAATCTAGTTGAAGAGAAACAGCACACTTTTGACAAAGCAATGAGTTACAAATTAGCAAATGCCAATCAAGCATCAAATGAGTGAAACAATGAGAACTACAGGTAGGAGAGATCACCATGTGTTACTGCTATAAAGAAGTCATCAGGGTGTTGGGAATTGACTAAAACTTTAAGAAAAGGTAGGACCATGTTACAAGCCTTTCAAATACAGTACATGTAGCATGATTGCAGCTACTTGGTTGGGGAAGAGTCTGAGAAGTGAGTTTGATAACTTAAATATTAATGAGCATAATGGTTTGGCTGGAATCAGTTACTCCTGTTGTAGAATATGTGGTAGAAGAGGCAAATTGAGACCACATTATGAAATGTTAAAAGCCGTGGTTGCTAATATATTTGTCTTCCTTTATTAGCTTGTAAAATGATTTTTAACAATTTCGTTTTCATTTCATTTTGTTTGGTATAGGCAAATGCAATCATTTAAAACTACTAACTTATGAAGTGACCTATAAATGTGTTGAACAAATGATGGAAAAATAGAGAGAAGGGAAAGAGAGGGAGAGAGAGTGTGAAGGAAAAGAGAAAGGAAGGAAGGAAGGGAAAAGTGTGGCATATGAAAGGTATTTGAGATGATAAGAAAATGAAGATAAGAGTGAACAATTATACCTTCAACCCTATTGAATGCTATATATTATGATGTTAATTTCAAATGTAACTATTTGGTCCCACAGTAAGTGTGTACCAAAATTTCTCAAAAGGGAAATCTACTAGAAAAATATGATAGGGTGCCTATTTCAAACTCTCTTTGAAGTAGCCCAGGATGTCTACATGGAGGAGAGGCTACTTCTTCAGGCTCTTGAAGGCAGATAGATGTGTTCTTCAATATAGAAGCTTGGGACATAGGACAGAGCATATGCAACAGCACAGAGAAAATATAGATGGTTGACTTGTTACATCACGAGAAGTTTGCTTGAGACTGGCATGTATGTAAAGAACTAGGTTTTGACCAGATTGTGAATTTTGGATTTGATCCTGTTATGCAATGTTATGTTATCCAAAATTCTGTGCATTCCTGGCAAGATCCCCAGAACCCACTCCCCCACCACCTACCTACCCAAGCCTTGCAGCATCAACAATCTGCCTAAGCAACCAGCAGTACTAATCATTCCACACTTCACATTCTCGTGCATGTCAGTTGCCAGAGGAAGCAAGTCTCAGGTCATGCTTCATTTGTGGATATCATCTCATACAGAATAATGCATTTCCTAATATAACAACATTTCCTATAACTTCTCAAATTTCCACTCACTTGTCTATATGCATTATCCATCAGCAAAATCCTCTGTATCCTCAACCTCTTCTGTCAGTGTTTCTCTTGATCATCTTAATCTCTATAATTTGAAGTTTTGGGGCCTGTCCTTGTGTTTCTTCTCTATATTTAGTCTGTAGTGAATTCATCTGGTCTCATGGTCTTAAATAACATGTATAAATTGAGCACTTCCAAATTTAGATCTCCTACGGGGCTCTCTACCCTGAGGGAGTTCATGTATTCAAGAACCAGGGTCCTATCTCTGTTTGGACACATAGGCATCTCAGACTTAACAAGTCAATCCATCCAAAATACCACCAACAGTAGTCTTCTCAGTAAATCACCACTTCTTTCTCTTAGTTACCCAGGTTGAAAGCTTTGGAGTTGTTCTTAATGCCTCTTTTATTACATACTCCATATTCACTCCAACCACAAATTCTGTTGGTTATATCTCTAAAATATGACCAAATCCTAGCCATCATCTTCCTAACACCATCATTGTCCAAGCTGTAATTCTCTTGCCTATCTTTTGGAAGAACACTGATAATTTTATTTTTTCCTTCTCCCCAATCCCATTCAACAGTTCGTTTTATAGCCACCAGAATAGTCATGCCACGTCTCAACTCAAAAATCCTCTAGCCACTTCCTGTCTTACTCAGAGCAAAAGCCAAAGGCTTTAAAATGGTTTACAAGGACTTTCAGAACTATCCTTCTTCAACCCTGCAATCGTATTTTTGTAAATCCATCCCTTATCTGACTTTGTTGTTAACTTCTCCAATCCAGGCTCGCTGGACTATTTGTTCTCTAGCTCACTGAACATACTCCCACTCAGGGGCATTTGCACCTGCTGTTCCTTCTATCTGCCACGCCTTTTCCTAGATATCTTAGTTTTTGTAACTTCCTCTTTCTCTTCCACCTTTACTCAGATATTACTTTATTCAAGAGCCTTTCCATGATTCTCCTGTTGTCTCCTTCCTACCAATATCTTTAAGACAGCATTTGTTTATCATGTTTTCTACCAAATTGTAAGTTACATAAGAACAGGAAATTTGTTAGTTTATTACTGTTTTATGTATCTAGCACACAAGAGGTGCTTAATCAATATTTGTGAAAATAACAAATGAATGAATTAATAACTACAATAAAAACTTGAGTATTTTTAAGCAAAGGACTCATCTAATTATACATTTTTTAAAATGATACATCTAAGTGAAGAATATGTGTAGAAAATTTTGAATAGTGCATCACCTCTGTGGAAGCTGGTAAAATAATTTGGGAAAGAGGAAAAATGGATGTAGAGTAGGATGGTTGTAGCAAGAATAAAAAAGGGCAGATAAGAGAAGTATTGCAAAGGCCATATTGACACACAAAAGAAGTGTAGGGAGTAAAGAAGTATGAGACAAGTAAAGTGCCAAGCATAGGCTACCTGGAGAGCAAAAAACAGCAATGGAAAATCCAGAAAGATGTACTGAAAACTTTATGATATTATAAAAATTATAATTATGAAAACAAAATTAAGTGCTCCCATGAGCATTTAAAGACTATAATTATCTTTATAATTATAGTCTTTAAATGCTCAAGACTTAATTTATCTTCATAAATTTATAGGCTGAAATTGACAGTGCCCAATCTGAGAAAGTTTTAGTCATACAAACAATTGTAGCAATATCAAAATAATAGTTTTAATTCATATGAGATGATGATTTTTCCCTCATCCTTTTAATTCAATCTTCTTTCTCCTTCACCCATGTATTTTTCAATCCTTATACCATAACAGAAATCCTTAACTTCCTGCATAAATAAGGCCTTTTCTTTGTTTTTTAAACTGGCTATGATTACTACTCTACATTTCTAAGTGATGTATAGATAGCTGGTTATGATCTTTTTATTCTCATGTTTTTGCAAAATTTAGGATTACCAAATTCCAGGGAGTATAGATAGATTTTAATTGATTTCTGCTGTTCACATATTCGTTACAAGGAGAAAAATAAGGCATGCTTTTCTGTCATAACCAATAACCTTTAATAAAATCATATTCATCCATTTTTTGCTTTTAAAAAGCCAGCAAAATTGGTGGTTTGGTTTATCATGGTTGAGTTTTGGTATTATTGTTATTTGTATATTATCTGAGTAACACTTCTTTGGTTTTTAGGAAAGATTAGCAGAAGAAATTGAAAAGCTGAGATCTGAACTTGACCAATTGAAAATGAGAACTGGCTCTTTAATTGAACCCACAATATCAAGGTAATTAAATTAAAAGCTTATCTGCAACTGACCAGTGATCAATATGAATTTCCTTATGATTAATATCTCCTACAATAAAATAAACAAGTACTTCCTATTGCTAACCATCATTGCCTTATTTTGACTTCTTACCAATTTAGTTTATTTTATTTATATTTTTAGTTATACTCAAAAATAATTCTCTAATTTAGAAATCCTTTCAGCAGATATACAATAAAAATTGAAATCCCTACCTTTCATATTCTGCATTTAATTATATAGATAAAATATGTAATAAGAATCTTAAATGAAGAGATGGAATGAGGCATAAGATTACATCTTATTCCAGCAAGAAATGTGAGCCCTTTTCTCTACATACAAAAATGTTTTCAATGCTTATTGTTACTAAAGAAATTTCAATGATTATGAACATTCATATTCAAGGAGCATTTAGCTATTTTGGTAAAGTAATTGCAAATAAAGAGGTAAAAATAAATTATACTTGTTTAGAAACTTAAATAAATTTAGCCATACTCATCTACTTTGATTCAATACCTCATCTTAAATGAAAGAAGTAATGAGCCCATTGTTTTTCTCTCTAGATGAACTTCAGTAATTCACATATTTTTTTTGTGTAGAGCCTTTTATTCAAATGTGATAGGAAACCCTAGAAAACTCACTCACTTGATCATGTATTTATTAAGCAATGCAGTGATATTAGCTATTTGAAACTATTGGCCACCACAGATTTCTAGAAGTTCACTTTTCATGATCTTATGCTTATGTGTAGAATAATAGCTCCATAAGGGATAGAATTTTTGTCTAGTTAATTACTATAATCTTAGCACCTTAAAAACATCCTGGCATGTAGTATGCTCTCAAACAATATTGTTGAATGAATATCTGGTAAAGCATTTTTCAGACATTCAAATGAAAAAGATCCAAATAAAAAAATTCTAAAGGATCTTATATTTTTCAGTATAGGTATTGATAAAACATTCAGTATTTTGAGTATTTCTTTCTTCAGCTGAGTATAAAAACAGATTTCTGCAGGCACAAATACATCCAGTTTTTTTTTTACTTTTTAAATTATTTATTTAATTTTCAAGAGCAGGGAAGGGAGAGAGAAAGAGGAGAGAAACATCAATGTGTAGTTGCTTCTTGCGTGCCCCCTACTGGGGACCTGGCCCAAAACTGAGGCATGTACCCTGACTGGGAATTGTACCAGCAACCCTTTGGTTCACAGGCCATCACTCAACCCACTGAGCCACACCAGCCAGGGCATTACCAAAAATTTTAATAGGTAGTTCTTTAACTTAGAAAATCATGCTGATTTTTAACAAATTTTTATTCTCACATATATCTGAACTGAAATTATTAATTCAGTTTCATGTGTTTATATGGTGGTGATGATGATGATGATGATGGGGGAGGAGAAAAAGAGCTGATAAAATATCCAAGGAGATTCTAAATACATAGAGTGAGACTTACTAAAGTTACAAATTAAAGATATTTTCATAGGACCAAATGTCCCTTTTGTTGTCATTTTGACCTTCAGCCTTAGAAATGCAGAGTTCTAGACATGTTGTCATCGTGGGCCAGCTAGCAGTGTGACATTTATCCACAATAATGGAACTATACACAGGACAATTTTCTCGGCAGCAGACTGTAGTAGAAACGACACTACACCGAGCGTGATAAGACTGACGTTCCTGGGTTTCAGACATATAAGTACTAGCTGTTTGATCTTGGAAAACCCATTTCCATAACAAGATTCTAATTCTGCATATATTTTACATGAAATTGTAACCAAAATGATTACAATGTCAAATGTACATAAATATAGCCTTTGACTTCTCTTGTTAAAGAGCTAGCTCACAGAGTTGAGTAAAAGGAAAGAGGTGACCAGTAATATTTGTAGATGAAGTATAAGCAGAGGGCTCTTCTACAATTGCTGTTCTCTTGGGTCTTTTGTTATTACAAGATCAGTTAAGTACTTTCTACTTGCCAGACATGGCACTAGAGATACAGTGGCAATGGTGATGAAGAGGACTTGTTCCAGATGGAAAATAGAGGAATAATAGTTTGAGGACTATTTTAATGGAAGGAATATGAGGAGCTACCATAGTATTATATATGACAATGGGACTTTCAAACTGAGCCTTTAAGAATGCTAATCATGTAAATGTATGAAGAGACTGTTTTAAAGGTTCAGAAGTAAAAGAAAGTGAGTTATTGAAGGATGAAAGTCAATGTAGCTCCATGCCTAGATACAGAGTAACTAGAAGTGGACTCGGAAGTAGGAAGGGCCCAAAATACTGTGGAGGGCCTTTAAGGACACTGAAGATCTTTAAGCATGTTGTCATTCGGACCAATCCATGTTTTGCTTCATGTTTCTATAAATTACCTAGAGTTGAGTGTTAAACAGGAAAACACGACTCCTAGGATAAGTTGTCATATTAGAAAATCTACTCTGATGCTCAAAGAAACATTACCCTAAATAGCCATAGACAAAAGGAACACAGAATGTTCCGAGGTAGATAGTTTAGAATGTATTACAATCAATTTCATTAATTCATTATCTTACCAGATATTTTTTAAGTGCTTAATATATGCTTAGGAATAACTCCTTGAACATATAATGGAGATGAAAATATATTTGTCTTCTTGAAACGTATACCCTCTGCCTAATAGTTAAAGACTTAAGATTTGTGCCATTTACAACCATGGCCTTGTTGGTTAGTTTTTATATATGATTAATCAACATTTTTAAAAAAATCAGTTTGACTGATTAAGTGTCAAGGTCACTGATCTAAAAAACAATCACTGTCATCTCTCTCTGGGACAATTCCTTAGTTCATTTGCTTTAATGTCCTATTTGGCAAAATTAGGACCGGCAGCACTTAGGTCAGTATCTTCTGCTGTTGTATACACTGACCTCACCTGACCTCTTTCATTTAATCTGGCCAAATATTTGGAAATGCTTCTTTCACAAAGGGAACTAAGGGTGAGAAAGTAGATCAGCAGGAACCCCAAATTCAAGAGTAAACACAGTTTTAAGTATGTTTGCTACTGATAATAAATCATTTTTAGGACAGCATGCTGCCAACTGATACCATTATTACTGTAGCAATAAACTGAATTTGCTGTAAATCTCTATATAAATAATGTTCCTGGAAAAACTTTTATCTCACTTTACTTTTAGTGTACTTTATTACCACACTTATTGTAAAATATGGTGACAATATTTTCCAATCAGAATGTTCCTACTATTGCATTACTAAGTAGATTTCAAAATTAGATGTGCTTGTCAAAAGACTTAAATTATTTAATCAATGCCTTCTTATAAGCTAAAAAATTATTTTGGCCCTGGCTGGGTTGCTCAGTTGGTTGCAACATTGCCTTGTGCACCCAAAAGTTGCAGGTCGATCCCTGGTCAGGGCGCACACCTGGGTTGCAGGGGACCATGGTGGGGAGAGGAACGGGGCAACTGATTGGTGTTGCTCTTTCACATCTCTCTCTCCCCCAGTCATAGCTCTCTCTAAAATCAATAAATACATCCTCGGGTGAGGATTTTAAAATTATTTTGTTGGCATATTCTATTTTATTAAAAATAACTTTATTAAACTTGGGTCCATCTGATTTTAACCACTTTCTCGATTTTTCTAAATTGAAAAATAGAATGTTGAAAAAACAGAAAACTCTGGAACTCCCAAACTTTACACATTATTTTGTTAGATTAATAAGGAATGTTTCAAACAAATACAGTAACAAATAGGATATATTGGGATATCCACTAAACAGTTCAAACTCAATAGAAGTGACAGAATTTAAGCCTCTGGATCGTTGGTTGTCCATGGTAAAATGTTTTCTTGTACTACCACAGTTGAAAATAGTAATTAATGAACAGAAGGGCTTTTTATATTCCACAAAGAGAACACGTGCCAAACCTTCAGGAAAGAACCTGAGGCTGGAATTTCTGACACAGCTTCCTAGGAGGCCTCAGGGAGTCATGATAATTCATTGGTTTTCTGTCTTGAAGTTTATTTCCTTGAGGGCTAATGTTTTAATGCCAGCTAAGAGGTGGATGGTGATTTGAAGGTAAATTTAATTTTAAAGAGTGGCTACACTTCATATTTTCCTTCTCCCAGGACTCATCTGGACACGTCGGCCGAATTGCGCTATTCAGTCGGCTCCCTCGTGGACAGCCAGTCTGACTACAGAACCACGAAAGTAATAAGAAGACCACGGAGAGGCCGCATGGGTGTGCGAAGAGATGAGCCCAAGGTTAAATTTTTATTTCAAGTCTCTGAGGGCTTTAAGTAAATACACTATTACATTTCGGTTAGATTCAAAATGCTAGTATTCTTATTAGTTTCAAGTGTGAAGTGTGATGTATTTTAAAAACTATGACTAACATAAAACCCTTACTGTATGCCAGACATTCAACTAAGTATTTCCTATGTATTTATCCACATCACCTTATGAATTGGGTACTATTTTTATACTATTATAATCACAGATATGAAAATATTGAAGCTCAGAAATTTTAAGTGTTCAAACACACCAGAGATCCCTAACCTTTTTGGCACCACGGGCCAGTTTCGTGGAATACAGGCGGGTTGGGGTGGGGCAGGGAGAGCTTAGGAGGTGATGAGCTTCCAGCTTCCCTCACCCAGCTGTGGAATGGGGGCAGGGGAAGACAGGAGGACAGGAGAGGCAGAGCTCAGGTAAGCTTTCCTTGCTCACAGGCTGTGGATGAGGGTGGGGGAGACAGGTGGCGGCATTCAGGCAAGCTCTGCTTGCTGCCTGGTGATTCTTTAACAGGCCCCAGACCAGACCTATACATCCTTCAAAGTGCTTGAATCAGAATCTGAGCCTATGTTGCTGTGTTTGTGTTTTCAAATTCCATGCTTTTATCCATTATGCTGTTTTGCCAAACAAATGTATTTTGTGGTTTGCTTGGGCACCTAAGCAGTGGCATTCATTCTGTTAATTAAAATCAATTAAATATTTTAATTATAATTTCTATTTTAAAAACACTTTGAGGAAAATGTCTGTAAACATTAAAGGTGTTTGTAGAAAACTGTCCACCATCAACTGCAGTGCCAACCTTTCATTCACTCAGTAACTTAAAATTTGTAAGCTATGCATGTTCAGTAAATATATACTTGCATTTTATAGAGAATATAGTTTCTGTGTGCCCTAAGAATAGTTTGTTCTCCCTAACCACTTTTATGTGTCCAAGGTACTATATAAGCTACTTATACAAACCCTTTGGTTTTTTTTTTAATAAGACTTTTGTTTTTAATTGATAGACCTATGTGTCATGTACAAGTTAATCCCGGACAGTAGGCATTCAACACCTGTTGAATATAAGATAAATGAATAAATTGAGTTTGTCTCAGTTCCTTTCTCATGCAAACTCACAGTTATTAAGAACCACACCTAAAACAAAAGCAAACTAAGAGGACAGCTAGATCAGGAGTGGAAACATAGAAATGAAGATCACATGGAGAGTTAGCAACAGGGGAGTGGGAGGAGGAGAAGGGGGGAGAAGGTACAGAAAATAACTAGCATAGACGGTAGGTAGAAAATAGATGGGGGGAGGGCAAGAATAGTAGGGGAGATATAGAATCTAAAGAACGTGAGACACGTGGTCATAAACTAAAGGGGGGAATGGTGGGGGAGGGGTATGTAGGGTACAGGGGAATGAAGGGGGAAATAGAACAACTGTAATGGCATGATCAATAAAATATATTTAAAAAAAAGAAAATAGATTAGTACGCTTGGTACCAAAACAATTTGTAACACAAAAGCTGATTCAGTTTTTCAAATCTTAAATAATACTCAAGACAATCTTATATTGTCCCTCCAAAAAAGTTATTTTATACCATCACAAAAATGAAAAACAATTTTTTAAGTAGAAGAAAACTCTGAATCCTCCCTTTTACTCCCAAACCACTCATACCTTGATATTACAACTTGAAAAACATTGGTCTATTGGTTACTCAAGACTTTCATTAACATGAGTATTTATTGTATCAGTTAAAACATAGCCATGTAAGTTAGTGTGCCTTGAGCTTAAAAAAAAAAATCAATCAGACATTTAAAGGACCAGAGCAGTGAAAATGAAATTAAATAACTTCACAATATTTGTAAATAATACTTAGTTAGATTTATGTAAATGACTATTGAGATAATTCTTATCTAATTTGTTGTGAGAATTCTTATATAATTTGTAGTTGGAGTCTACAATACAAGGTGTAGATAAGACTGATTAGTACAATAAATGGGAATGCTTGAGTATAAGTGGATAGAAAGGATTAATTTGCAAATAAGGAGAAATGTTGCAAACACAATGCTTTAACATAACTGTTACCTCGATTTGGAGTTGAGCTAGAAATCATGATGTTTATCATTTATTATTTTTATTTCTATGAAAATCTTGATATTTATGCTGACAATACTTTCCATAACATAAAATGCCAGGGAACTATTTTATTGAACCAATACATTAAAAAGTTAATAATCAGTTCATCTTTTGCCAAGTAATCTATTAAATCATATGTACTTTTTCTATTGCTTTTTGGAATATTGCTTTGAAAATAAATAATGTGATAGATAATATAATTGCTCACTCGCCATTCAGGTAAAATCTCTTGGAGATCATGAGTGGAACAGGACTCAGCAAATTGGCATGCTAAGCAGTCACCCTTTTGAAAGTGACACAGAAATTTCTGATATTGATGATGATGACCGAGAAACAATTTTTAGCTCCATGGATCTCCTTTCTCCAAGTGGTCATTCTGATGCCCAGACTCTAGCCATGATGCTTCAGGAACAATTGGACGCCATCAACAAAGAAATCAGGTGAGTTCAACTATTACTGATGGTTTCAAGGTATAAGAAGACCTCGATACTAAAAATAGGATCTTCAAATCAAAAGCATTGGCACCACCTGGAAGGGTGTTGGAACTACAGCATTTCATACCTCACCCTACACCTACTGATTCAGAGTGTGCATTTTCACAGAATTCCCTAGATATCTGATTATCTCCTATACAAAATTAGGATAATCTTTGTAAGGGACATACATGAAACATACAGAAATGATATGAAGGGAATGTAAAAGAATGAGGTAAAGATAAAATCTTTTCCAACAAATTTTAAAGCATTTTAAAATTAAAATCTACTGTTTAAATGGTATGTGTGGTGATAAGATACACCGTAAAGGTACATTTAACACTGCAGTAAAGGTACTAACTAGCATACAAATTAATGTGCAGCCAGCTCCTTAAAAGTATTTAGACACTGGAGTGAAATTAAACTATGACTGAATTATTTGAAACTAGATATGAAAAATGGAACTATCACCACACAGTATCTAGAAGTAGATGGTTTCCAAAGAGCAGATAACATTATAGAATAGAATTTGTGCGACTTAGCATTTTAAATATTGAGAAATGTTGACACTGTGGTAGCTTAAATTTTAATTTTATGTATTTTCTGGAATTCCAATGACATTCACAGTCTTTTTCTATCACGAATTTGACTAACCTCAGTGAAGAACCCTACTGTGTCAGGTGGATTTGTTTTCTGCAAACATCAGGAATTGTTCTTAAGCTGTTGTTTCAACCAGCCAGCAGTTTTTACTATTTTGAACAATGCTTTTATTTGTTCTTTCTGCCTGTAGCTTTAATCTGTGGACCTCCTATTTTGATTCAAATCTACCTAGCTCTCCACTATCGTCACCATGTTGCACATTATAATACTTTCTAGTTTCTTTGTAGCATTTGGAATCCCAAGCTAGTCCAAGCTGACACTGCAGCCAAAACAGACTTTTAAAAACCCAAATGTATTTGTATACGTTCCCTTTTCAAGCCTTTCAGTTTTTCCTAAAATATAGATCAAGATCCTTTGATGGTCTGCAATGTGTCACTTACTTCAATGTTCTCTTAACCTTCACCTGGCATAGTCCAAGTTCCATTATACGTGACTTGCATTCTTTAAATGATCCAAGCTACCCCCTTTGTTGCTGCTGATTTCTTTTCCTTATGGAACATTCTCTGAAATCCACATTCTTCTGCCTTAACTCTTCACCCACTTTATACTTACTCCCCAAAAGAGCTTCAGTATCACTTCTTCCACCTCTCAGTTTATTTCACTGTCCTTCAGTTCTTTGTCTAAATCACTAGATTGTAAGTCATATAAGAGTTAGAAAGTGTATCTGGTTTTGCTCACTGGTTCTTATTTCCAGAACTTAGCACTTTGCTTGATAAATAGAAAGTGCTTTATAAGTATTTGATTCCTATAAACAGAAAAAAGAATATACAACATTAATTCAGCTGCATAACTCTTTCTGATGCTGTGCAGCTAATAGTTGGACTCACTAAATAGATTTCAAATCAAGTACACACTCTTATGATTTTAAACTGTGCGTCTGAGAGTTTTGCTATTTCTTCATCACTTAGATTTATAGGCTCTGGGGCTTTGAGATCTTCTTGAGCCATTTTTGGTCTGTTCACGCTCATTAAGTATGAGGAGCGGAGCCTTGGACTCCCAGGTCACTGGGTTGTGCCACTGTATGTGGGGGCGTGGTCAGAGTGGGGAAATGGCAGCCCCCTCTGCTGTTTCACGCCGCTGGGTGAGGAGCAGAGCCTTAGGTGGTTCACCAGGGCGGGGCTACTCAAGTCGCTGGGTTCCAGGGGAAATGGCAGCCCCCTCTGCGCCCCGGGTGAGGGCAGAGCCGGTGGTTCACCAGGGCGGGGCTACTCAAGTCGCTGGGTTATGACGCTGTATGTGGAGGCGGGGTCAGAGTGGGGAAATGGCGGCACCCTCTGCTGCCTCTCTCCTTGGAGCCTGCTCAGTCCCGTAGTCTCACTGCCCACTCCCTCGCTTGTCTATCTGCGCATGAATGGGCAACTACAGTCAATCTGCAGCCCTGTTCCCTCGCTGTTTCCCCCGAGGTCGCTCGCTGAGTCGCTTACTAGGTCCACGCCTGAGTCCGTCTGACGAGTTTTCCTGTGCAGCCCCGCTCCACCAGCTGCTGGTTTCGCCTCTCTTACCGGTCAGGCTGAAGAATTTGTTGTTATCAGACTTCCGAAAAGTTCAGTTTTCTGTGTTCTGGCTATGTTTTCTGTTGCTAATATTTAGTTGTCTCTAAACTTGGTTGTGAGAGAAAGCACAGCATCTCCACCTATGCCTCCATCTTGGCAGAATCCCCTCTTATGATTTTGTTTTCACCAAAAAAATATACACATACCCTCTATAACAACCCATATCTTTCCAGGGACTCTTAGCTCTCTTGAATTAGGGTAATAATTCCTAGTAACAGTCTTGGCCTAGATTAATTATTGACCCCAACACATTGATATCCAAATAATAAATTCAATATGTTGTCTTTTGATATTAAACATTACTGACCCCCTTAAAGTAGATTAAAATAGTAGGTAATTGTAAGAAATTAATACATAAAATTCAAGTACATAGCAACATTTAAAAGAAATGGACACTTTCATATAAACTGTGGTAATATGCTAACACCAACCAGAATTTATCACTAGTTAAAATTTTTCTTTTGTAAATTAATTATTTTTTTAATTTTACATATATTTTACTGATTACTATATTACAGTTATCCCAATTTTTCTTCCTTTGTCCCTCTACCCTGTACCTCGCATTCTGTTTGGCAATCTCCTTCACCCTTATTTCATGTCCATGGTCATGCATATAGGTTTTTTGGCAACTCCATTTCCTTTAATGTTCTTAAGATTCCCCTGTCTATTTTGTACCTACCAGTTTGTACTTCCTAATTCCTGTACCTTGTTTCCAATCTCACCCTTCCCCCCTCCTAATGGATAATTCCCCAAATGATCTCCACATCTATCATTCTGTTTCTGTTCTGCTTGTTTTTTTAGTTGGGTTTTTTTTTTTTTGGTGCAGTTGTTGATAGTTGTGAATTTGTTTCCATTTTAATGTTCATAGTTTTGATCTTTTTCTTAAATAAGTCTCTTTAACATTTCATGTAATAATGGTTTGATGATGAACTCCTTTAGCTTTACTTTCTCTGGGAAGCACTTTGTCTGCCTTGTATTCTAAATGATAGCTTTGCTGGATAGAGTAATCTAGAGTTTAAGTCCCTGCTTTTCAACATTTTGAACAATTCCTGCCAGTCCTTTCTTGCTTGCAAATTTTCTTTTGAGAAATCAGCTGACAGTCTTATGGGAACTTCTTTGTAGGACACTATCTGCTTTTTTCTTGCTGCTTTTAAGATTCTTTATCTTTAACCTTTGGCATTTTAACTATGATGAGTGATATTCTTTGTATCCATCTTGTTTGGGACTCTATGCTTCCTGGACTTGTATATCTATTTCTTTCACCAAATTATGCGTGTTTTCTTTTATTATTTTTTCAAATAAGTTTTCAATTTCTTGTTCCTTCTCTTCTCCTCTGGTACCCCATGATTCAAATGTTAGTACATTTGAAGTTGTCCTAGAGGCTCCTTAGCCTATTCTTTTTTTTATTTCTTCTTGCTGTTCTGATTGAATGTTTTTCTTTCTTATTTTCTAATTTATTGATTTGGTTCTAATTCATTCATTCCACTATTGATTTCCTATAAATTTTTGTTTATTTCAGTTAGTGTCCCGTTCAGTTCTGATTGGATCATTTTTATGCTATTCAATTACCCACTTGAACCTCCTAATAACCAGTGTTTTGAACTTTGCATCTGACAGATTGCTTATCTCCATTTTCTTTCCTTCTTTTTCTGGAGTTTTGTTCTATTCTTTCATTTGGGCCATATTTTGGCAACCTCCCTGTGTTTGTTTCTATATACTAGGTAGAGTTGCTTTGACTCCCTGTTTCAGTAGCATGGCATATTGTAGAAAAGCACATGGTAAGTTGGATGGGGCAGATCCTTAGGTAATAGCCATGGTGGGGCAACTCATGTGATCTAGGTTAACGGAGCCTCAGATGTGGTGTTGCCATTCTGTGGGTCTGTTTGGGGGAGGGCCCAGAAAATGCACAATGGCCACAGCCTGGCCTCTGAAGCTTTGTCCAAAAGGAAGCTGCCCCCTGATACTAGCCCTGAGCTGGACACTTAAGTTTTTCCCCATATTTCACTAGTGCCCTTCAAACTGCTGTCCTGGTGCTAAAGCCCAGAAGGAGTGAGTCCACTCCTGAGGTATCCCTCCCAATTTTTACCCACCACACATGGATGTGGGACCACCCATTCCATACTCCATATTTCACATCACCATGTCTGTGTATCTCTGCATCTCCACCCCTACTATCCATCTGGATCAATGTGACTTCTTTAATTCCTTGGTTGTCAGACTTCCATACAGCTCCATTTTCTGATGATTCTGGGTGATAGTTGTTTTGTAGTTTAGTTGTAATTTTTGCTGTGGTTATACAAGGAGGCAAGCCATGTTTATTTATGCCTCCATCTTGAGTGGAAGTTCCTGAAAAATAATTTTTAAAAAAATTCCTCTCCTCTGGCATCTTACAGCTCACTGATTCTCTTACAGGGAGAGATCAAATACTTCAAACTCATTTGTCACTGCAACATTCAATAATCTATTCATCTATAGTTAGCTATGATTTGCCTAATTTACTTTTGTAGTTTTATTTTTTCAAGCCTTCTTTATGATTTCTATGGGAATCCCTCCCCAACACACTGGGGCATCCTAAAAGAACTCTGTTTTGTTGTTACTTTCTTTGCTTTCCACATATACATAAGGATTCAAAAGATCAATGGACTATTATTTTTTTTTCCAAATACATTGAGCATCTGGGTAACATTGGATTTTCTTTTGGATTAATCTTTGATTGACCTCTTACTTGACTTGTCCCTCTAGGTTTGACTCTTATACAATTAATAGAATATTAGAGTTAATAAGGACAAATTCTTTGTACAAAAGAACCACGTTGCCAGAATTTTCTGGAATAATTTTCTACCAATCATTTTAAATGTACAAAAATATTCTTTTGAAGAAGAGAAAGTTTTCCATTAGCATGTGTTTAAAGCATTAATGATACTATACTTGATACTTGATAAAGCCTTCCTTTGGGAATCTGATCTTTGCTCAAATTAAAATGCATCCATGAAATAAACTCCAAAATAGCAGACTATAAATACTTTGTGTAAGTAAAAACTTATAATTAAGATTAGATGTGCTTCTTAATATTTTTATTGACTTTATTTTTTAGAGCAGTTTAGGATTCACAGCTAATTTCACTGAGGGGAAGTACAGAGATTTTCCCATATACCACCTGATCTCTACACATGTGTATCCTCCCCCACAACAACATCCTCCACCACAGTAGTGTGTTTGTTACAACCAATGAACCTAGATTAACACTTTATAATCACCCAAAGTCCATAGTTTACATTATTATTTACTCTTGGTGTTGTGCATTCTATGCATTTAGCAATATGGTATCAAACAGTATTTTCTCTGCTCTAAAAATGTGTCATGCTTTGCCTGTTCATCTTCTTCCCATCCCAACCCCTGGCAGACACTGACCTTTTTACTGCCTCAATAGTTTTGCTTTTTATTAAAGCAATATGACACTTTATTTCATATAAAGTGTCATATAATTATAACCAGATAATATGTTGCCTATTTAGATTGGCTTCTTTTATTTAATCATATGCATTTAATGTCCCATATCTTTTCATAGCTTGATAGCTCTTTTGTTTATTGCTGAATAACATTCCAGTTTATCCATTTTCCCACTTAAGGGTATCCTGGTTGCTTTAAAGTTTTGGCAATTTTAAATAAAGCTGCTAGAAACATCCATGTGCAGGTTTTTGTAAGTACATAAATTTTCAGCTCTTTTGTGTAAACACCAAGGAACATGATCTCTGGATCATATGGTAAGTGTATGTGTAATTTTGTAAGAAACTGTCTTCCAAAATAAATATGAAAAGTTCCCTGGCTGGTGTGACTCAGTGGACTGAGTGCTGGCTTGCAAACCAAAGGGTTGCTGGTTGGATTCCCAGTAGGGACACATGCCTGGGTTGCGGGCCAGGTCCCCAGTAGGGAGCATGTGAGAGGCAACCACACATTGATGTTTCTCTCCCTCTCTTTCTCCTTCCCTTCCCCTCTCTCTAAAAATAAATAAATGAAATCTTAAAAAAAACAAAATAAATATGAAAAGACAACTTTGCAGTGATCATGACCTGAGGTTAAGGAGTATATGCCCTCAGAGTTCCCAATAAGCCATTTTTTAGTTATGGAAATATGTCAGTAGGTTCCTGTCCCTCTTTTTTCAAACAAACTCTTCTTATACATAGTTTCATTCTAATACGTAAAATATGTATAGATTCAACTCAAATAGGAACTTTATGCAACCCAGCTAAAGCTCTATTTCTGTGTCTTTCAATACCTAATAGTGATGTATACACATTCTTGGAGCCTGTTTCTATTAAAAAAAGAGAGAGAGTTGGTGCTTTTTTTTCTCAAAAAATTTTGTAGTAACAGTTTAATTTTTTATTATCTATATCCATCTATCATCTATTTTTCCCACATTATTAAATTGTATAATGCTTATTTAAAGAAGACTTGGCTAAATAGGTATTAATGTTTTTAAAAGATTCCAATTGATTTATTTATTGAGGATTTTATTAGTTATACTTTGTTATTAAGTCAGAGGTAAGATTCAATAACTTTATTGGAATCTGAATTTCTAAAACTCTCATTTATCATTCTCTGAGTTCAAGTGTAAGTTCAGGATTAATAGCAAAAATTAATTAGGCAGGCAAGGAGTTTTTGTAAGTTATAGTATAGAAAGAATCAAACTAAAAGTGGAGAGGAATCATATATTACTTGGAAAGAGAGATTTTCTAAATTTCAGGCAGGAAGTCCCTGGAATTTATTGATAGTTATATTTCCTAGAAGAAAAAAAGATTAAAATACCAAGTTTGTTATAAAATGTTCATTTCACAGAGAAGTTTTTATTGACTTATTAGTATTCCCGGACCATATAATGGATCAAAATTAAACTATCTTTCAGGCTAATTCAGGAAGAAAAAGAATCTACAGAGTTACGTGCTGAAGAGATTGAGAACAGAGTAGCTAGTGTGAGCCTGGAAGGCCTGAATTTAGCGAGAGTCCACCCAGGTACCTCCATCACTGCCTCGGTTACAGCTTCTTCACTGGCCAGTTCATCTCCCCCCAGTGGACACTCGACGCCAAAGCTCACCCCGCGAAGTCCTGCCAGGGAAATGGATCGGATGGGAGTCATGACACTGGTAAAATGATGAGTCCGGAGATACTTTACTGCCACTAGGGTTAAGGATACATTATTGACATTGATCAGGTGTTTATTCCAGACTAAGGGCTCTCTCTGTGTTTCATTGTTCCTTTCTTCTTCATTTCACCACAACCCTCTGTGGTAGGTACAGATAGTAATCCCCTTACCAGAGGAAGAGATGTAATCTGCATAGGTGCAACTTTCCCAAGCTCGTATGATAAGTAAACAGAAGAGTAGGAATCTAACTAGTTATTAGAAACCAGAGTGACTCAAATGATTAAGTACATTTTGACATCTTGATGAAGTAAATTGGGACTTCTTTAAAACAATAAATAACAAAAATTATTTTATAATTGCTTCAGTACACCAACATAGAATGTTAAAATTTGATGTATGCATAATGTAAAATAATTTTAAAAGAAGAAACATCAAGAGCAATACCAGTAATTTCCTAATTTTGTTTTGATTTTCATGTCAAAATTTTAATCATTTAATTCTTTATTTCATTTAGCTTTATGTTTGGAATTAAATGTTGAAAGCATGAACTGGTAGGGATCTAAGTACCCTTGCTAAAAATAATACAGGAAACCTCTGGAAAATCAGGTTGTAATAACTATTTAATGCCATAGTGTTTGCACATTTAATTCTTATGTTAACATTTGAAATTCTGAGGATATTACATTAATAGAGAGCAAGATAATAAGACTTTGAGAGTATGAGTACATTGCCCGTGTCCAAAACAGCTAGTGGGCAGAGCTAGATTTTTCCTTAGATTTGCTAACTCAAAAGCACATATTATACTATCTTTCTGTTCTGTGATTACATGGAAATATGTTGAATTAAAAATAATAGTGAAGATTTAAATATTCTAGACTATTTGTAGAGGTAAAATTCTGTTTTTATAATGAATATTAAAACTATATTATTAAAACAATAAATTTTTATTAAAATGAAAGCATTTGGGGATAGAGCTTAATTAAAATGCAAATAGATAAAACAATAGTTGACACACTGTAAACTCTAGCACAAACATGACAAATGGAGGGGAAATTAATAATACTACAGAAAAATATGAAGTGTATATTATATTTCCAGCAAGAAGGTTGTAAAGCTTCTATAAAAGTTCACATTGTCTGTGTGTGTGTAATAGCTGAACAAAAAGTTTAATTCATTTTCCAAATGACATTTTAAAATAAATATGTTACAATAATTTGTGATATGGCTAACAAATAATATATACATACACACACATACACAGGTATATATACGGTGCTCATATATATGTGTATGTGCTCTCACCTAAGAGGAAAACTACCTTATAAATAGTAATTATCATAGGTTTATATTTTATCTTCACAAAATTTCTCTTATGCGTATAAGTTTAGGTATCTCTTGCTTTGATTATGAATTGAGAACTGAAACAGAAACTATTTACATGGTGAGGCGACATTTCCCACAGCAAACTTTATACTTATGCGACTTCCATGCAATAAAGTCTATGTAAGAGAAGTGGTGAAGTTAAAGAAAATATATCTCTTTAAGCTGGTAAGCCATTGAGTCTTCTAGACTCTGCTAATTTCTAGGCTTGGTATTAAAAATGTTTTTGAAATAAACAGCACAAGCAATGGCCAATCAGAAAAACTAATCAGAGCTCATGCCCCTCAGTACAGCACAAAATTTTAGCCATCGTACTAGGAAATACTAAGACAATAACAGCTATGTTATGATCTACTTATTTTAGAAATCTAGAAACCATCATTTGGTCTTACTAACTAAAATGATATTATCTTTGGCTTAGTTTCTACATATTTAATATGTGCTACATATACTGATCACCTACTTTTTACTAAAGCAAAGTAAGAATCTTCATCCACAGAGCAGTTCTGTCAGCACTCAAGGCCAGAGAACTTTATTATCTCTGTACTACTATTAGTTCCTTCCATTTTTACAATACGAGTGTTTTTGAACCTTCAAGTGTTTTCACAACTATCATCATCATAAATCTTGACAGTGTTATTATTTTATATTAATAAAATGAAACGTGCATAATATTTAGATGGGATGTTTTCGTGTGTGACAATGTTGCCAGTGCTTCCGTGCATTGCCTTGAGTGGTCAGCCATAAATAAATCAGTGGTAAATGCACATTATTGCTTTATAATTAGAGTCCTTAAAATATTTATAACATGCTCTGAGTGTTTTAAAGTGTTTAACATGAAGTACTAATCACCTAATAGAATTTTTTCCTCAAATTCACTATTGTTATAGTGAAACAGGTAGATTTTCTTTTACATTAGAACATACTGGAAGAAAAATAATTTTGTTGGGTATAATTCATGATTGAGCATTCAGAGAACATTAGAAATTTGGGAGACAGAAAATATATATTGTAAAGATGTTGTTTGGGCTGTATATGTTTATATGCTTTAAGTTTTTATTTTTTGGTTTATTTACTGGTTGTATTCACTGTTACCTCACCACAAATACATAAGCTTAAATAACATTCTTGAAATATCTAGTTAGAATACTGGATGGGGTAAATCAACCCATTCATTTTCTGGTACAATGAAAATATAATGAAACATTTTAACAAAAAGTATTTTATTTACATAAGAAAAATAAACAAAGAATTAAGTGAATAAGGTTGACATGGAATCATAAAGAATTAGCTTTGTAAAAAAAATTCTGTAAGGTTACTGACAGGAAAGCAGCCGTCTGAGATACACTGGGCACAGAGATTTTGATGTACATATTTGCCCCAAGGAGGTGCAAGGCTCGGCAGAGGTGGGGAAAAGATGAGGAGTTCGTTCCATCTGATTTCTGGCCACCTCATTGCAGGTGTGCTTTATATTCCCTGGGGCCTCATACCTCACCTCTCCGGCGTGTACATGGGCTCCTTCATGGCGACACGCCCCCCAGGCCATTGAGGAAGTCCCCTCTCTGAAGTAACTGCCTGGAGGAGCATCTTTATAATGATTAACAAATGCATATGAGCACAATTTATTTAGAAAAAAAATTAAAAAAAAAACAAGTTATAGACACTATGTAAACTTGTACAATGGTAATGACAATCATTAACTAGTTCTGTTTTATGTTGCTTTCATCACTGCCAACCGCAGCCCAGTGATCTAAGGAAGCACCGGAGAAAGGTACTGTAATGAGTTGTATGTGATTACTAGCTGAATACTGTTTTTTCTTATGAGAGCTTTAAAATTGTATTCCCTCTAGTTAAATATTTTATCAACCTAAAAAGTGAAATATTAGAAGTGTTTAAGTATTAATTGAATTCTTTAAATATGATCATCAGAGCAAATTACCTAAAAACAAAAAAAATTGATGCTTATTGGAACAATGATTAGATCACAGGGACTAAATATTTTGATTTTCAACACAACACTTACAGCGCTGTTGATAACAAAGAATTAGATGACTTACTATCTATACTAGAATAATGCTTCCTGTTTTAAAATGTAGATTTCACCATTATTCAGTTACAGGGAGGCCAACAGATCAGGAGACAACGCAATGGAAAGAAAACCAGTCAAATTCCCTGGTGATCTCTTTCCCAGGTTATCCTTGTGCAGGACTGGGCTCACCACACTGTGCAGGGCCACAGGGAAGCCAGTGTGTGTGAGGAGACAGAGAGAGTGAGGGGCAAGTGTGGGCAGATTTTATCATAGTTTCTGAGGGAAAGACAAGGCAAGGTAAGTAAAATTAGGATTGGCCGTTTTGAATAATTTTAGTGGGTTCTAGGTTTTAGGATTGTCTCCAATAACTGGCCTGGAGTGATTACGGCAGAGGAATATTGCTTTGTGGAGTGTAAGAGCCAGGTGGATAAGATGGTATGGGATAGAGGTCTTGACTGATTGATTTTCCCATGGCAGGCACACTCTCTGGGTACGTGGTTTGCTTTCCATAGGAATTAGCTGGCCCTGGAACAGCAGTCTCTCCTGCCTCAGATGCCAGAGCATCAAAAATATAGAAAATATGAAAACAGAGCTAATATACTACTTTCCTGTTCAGAATGAAATCAAGAGCATAAATATTGAATATAGGAAACCAAATGGACTCCAGTCCTGGGAACACAGGAGAAAATCTGAGTAGACTTTCAGTGCATAGGAGAAAGAAAAAGTCACAAAGAAAGTTCTTGTCAGAAATGCAGCCTCAAGGAATTCAGAGAATGACATAATTGATTGGTTAAAAAAAAAAAAAGTAGATTATGGAAGACCGCAAAGCTAAAAATTGTTGCATATCAGACTGAGGAGTCACATGCATGATTCCATTTACACTTCAAAAGAAAATATTAAGATAAGTACCCTGGCTTCCATTTTACTAATGAAGAAATGTATTCTCTCAACAGGTAAGGAATTAGCATAAATAAGAGAAACCAGTATTCAAATCCATCTCTGATTCCAAAGTCATCTTCTTCAATTATGTTAATATAGTGTGAGCGTTCAGCATTGTTCAAGGGAACAATTTGTGTATAGTTTTCTTAAAAGCTGATATTTGAAAAATTGGCATAGTTTAACTGTCAGAGCAAAGAGAGAAGGGTATTTATTGTAAGAGGGTGTTTCAGGAAAAAAATCTGGAAGCAGAAATCATCATGTTTAGCAAAAACAATCATGGTTAGATCATGACCTGTGAAAATGTAAGCATTTACGTTTATTGGGAAGAGTATGGAGGCACACTTCATGCGTTTAAAAGGGATGTGGGTTTAGAAAGGGTTTTCCATGGCATTGATACCATGCTGAAAACAATTCTAGAAAATGATTATTTTAGTGGCACTATGCTAGTTGAAACAGAGAGAGAAAATTCTATTAAGATACTTGCCTGAACTGTTAAGAGTAATCTAGGCTTGTATAACGAGAGCACAAGCAGATATTTTCGTTAAGTTTCTCCAATGAATGAAGTCTTTTTCATATATAAACACATTTAAGCATAATACCTTATAACAGAAACAAGCAAGATATTGCATAGACATAAAATGAGAACACAAACTTTAAAAATTTTGCTATAGCCAAGCTTGGAAGTTCTTTAGAACTTCTGCAACTACTTCAAGCTGTGATTTTCCAGTTTTTCTCTTGTTTTATATATATATATATTTATGTACAACAATGCTATGAATAAATTCTAAACATCATTGTGAAAATATGTCTTTAGAATTAGCTTTGATTTTTGAAAGGTCTTACTTTAATACACCTATATCTCCCTATCCCTGGCAAAATTTATGCTATCCAGAATTGTTCTGGATTCTGAAATGATTGTTCATTAAGGAAATCCCTTGTCTTGCCTTCTTAGGGTTCTATGTGTGCCTTTTCACATGACAGGTAGTGAAATAAAATAGTTTGCAAGAAGTATGTTCTTACATTTTATTATTGTGATTTTAAAAAGTTTTTATATGCTCACATATAAGTGGCAACTCATTTTTAAAACACCTGAAATAGATTTCTTTAGCATGGCTAATTTAAGACATAAACTTTCTCCAATAAAGTTATAGATTGACAACTTGTCTTCTCACTTCAAAAATCCCCCACTTAAAAGATGTCTGTTTTGCGATAACCTGACTATGCATTTTCTTAGTAAATTTGCTCCAATTTTTTAAAAGCATTTATTTTCTGGTATATTAAAACAGATTTCAAAGTAGCTTTTTCATGGTCTCTGCATAGTGATCTATGGTATTTATTTATTCCTAAATACTTTTTCTAGTTGGACCTTGTTTACTTTAACTGGAGTGTCTTCACTTCTAAAGATTTATCGAATTCACATTCTTTAATAATGTGACTTTGTGTGTGTAAAACCTATATGCCCCAAGTTTTTTTGTTTTCGTTTTTGTATTAGACTTACTCAGATAGCCTTGTTTTGATGATTCTCCATTTTTATTCATTTCAGTTGAAATTTGAAAGAGTTCATCTGAATGTATTGTTTTTACTTCTAGATCGCGGTGGTGGAAGAGGATGGTCGGGAAGATAAAGCGACCATTAAATGTGAAACTTCCCCTCCCCCCACCCCCAGAGCCATCCGGATGACTCACACCCTCCCTTCCTCCTACCACAATGAGGCAAGAAGGTAGGTTCCCCCGCCACACTGTGCAATGGATGCTGCCCCCTGGGAAAACGTTCTTCTTCCTTTCAGTGCGGTCAAGTAGACTGTTTAAATTTTACATAAAAAATTTTAGTTCAACTTGTGAAATAAATAAAAGACATACCACTTGTGAAAAAAGTAAATTTTCATTCTGAGATCCAATTTCTTGTTTTAAAATTAACATTATATTTGTGGTCTTGTTGCTAGCCATATTTATAGGAATAGCTCTTCTATTTTTGGTGTGTATTTTCTATAAATGGAATCAGGCTAAAGGAAGAACTTATTAGGAATAGCAACAAAAACTAAAGGGATTCTAGGATGTAGGGGCAGAAATCTTTTCCCACCTTCCATTTTAGATTTTTTGACTGGTCTAAATTAAATTGAAATAAGACACATTGACAAAGGAAACACGTTTTATTTATATGGGAGCCTCATTAAATTATGTAGTGAGGCTTATATACTCTCCTGTGCTAAGGGAAGAGGTTAAGGACTGGGGGGTTCACAGGGGAGGAAGATAATTCACAGAGAAATGAGATTATCTGTTTGGTAGATAAATGCTGGCTGTGCTTGCAGCATTGCCTTCTGATATAAAAATACCCTTCTCTTAATAGCTCTCTTCCTCATACAGGTCTCTATGTAACTTCTTTTAGGCATTTAAGGCAGGGGTGGCAGCAAAAAGCTTTTCCTGAGAGTGCTGGACTCAGATTCTCTTCAACTTAAAATAATTCACATGCCAAAGTAGCACAGGCTGAGGTTGTGTATTCTTTTTCCCTCCAAAGACAAGATTGTAAATTTGGCTTATAGTGTAAGAGTAATTAAGGTCAGAGAATTCCCTGATTGTGCCTCATTTACCTTTGGCTGACTGGAAGGTAAGCCATCTTTTGGTTGCTGCTGCTTCTTGGGCAGAAAGTTCTTAGAAAGGGGGAAAAAAAAAGCACATTTACAAAATCTTGAAGGACCAGATAAAGTTAGATTAGGAAATGTCCCATATGTCATAGTGACTCTTCACACTGTAACTGTGTGGCATGGGCTTTGGACGCTTGTCACCCTTAATCCACATGACCCAAAGATTTGTGGGAAGTGAAATAGGTTTTTATTCACAAGTTCCCAACCTTGCAGGGACTAAAGCATTCCTGCTCTGAGCTCTTCTCTCTCACAAGACCCAAAACTTCTTTTGCTCCCCAAAAGACCGCAAGCCGAAACCATGCCCAGAAGTTGCCCGTTTTCTTATCTGTTCATCAGCTCCATCCTCCCTGGAATGTGAGCTCATGGGTTTCAGAGTCGCCATCTTCTTGCAGCAGCTCTTTCTCCATTCGAGTTCTGGGATGCGCTGCTCTCAGTCTCCTTGTAGCAGACCAGAATCCATGTGCCTTGCTGTGCTAGATCTTAGTGTCTCAGAGGCTGGAGCCCAGGAAGGCACACATCCTGGGGTGGGACCCTCCCTCCAGGAGCAGCGCACTTCCAACCATGTGGGGCCTAAGCCCCCCTTGGGGGGACTTGGCATCTGTTTGGTCCCAGAGCTCTCCTATCTATGTAAAGGGCAAGGGCCAGAAACCCGGAGTATCCAAGTGCCAAAGCAAGACAACCCTAAATGAAGAGCTTGCCCGCAGTGCCAAAAGCCTAGAGAGAGCCAAGAAGAACTTGTACCAAGGTCCAGAGCAAAGGAAAGAGCATCACTTCTCCACTCCTTTGCTTTTAAAAAAGGTCCTCCTAATATCCCACACATGCAGAAAACTAGTGGGAGTGTCCAGCTTTTCAGCCAATGGCCTTTTTGTCTTTGCCCCTCTTTCCAGGCATGGGCAGAAGTCTCCAGTCACCTTGGTTAGGACAATCCGCTCCCACCTTTCTCATGAGCAAGTAGCCTCAAAGCTTGGGCTACTAAGCCCCAAGTCTGGTTTCAGTCCTGGGCACTCTCTGCCCCTCCTCCTGCCAACTGCATTGTGTTAATACTAGCCTCTGGCCTGCGGCAATTCCCCTTTTTCAGGCAGTCCCTCCCTTTGGAGAAGGCAGGTTCTCTGTTCTGCTACCTCATTACTCTTCCCACCCCCTGCATTTCCTACCAAGGCGGGAGTGGTCTCTATGCTGGTTGGGGGGACTCGAGGCCTGATGTCTCACTCGTTCTCTGGGAAGCTCAGGTCTGACCTATTTTCATTATAATACTGTGTTTCCCATCTACCTAAAAAAATTGCAAGCAGATCTCTAATAATTAATGACATAAATAAATCTAAGCATATAATTTAATCTTAAGTGTATGTCCTTTTATTGTCATCAATTGCAGCATCTCTAGACACATAATTGATATAACTGAACATAATAACAATGATTAATACTTTAAATAAGAATCTGTCTTCTAAAAATTATGTTTTACAACATATATTTTTGAAAACAGAGCTTTTTGTTCTGGCAAGCACTTTCTGTTTTGTTTATTTTTAATTTCTAATGTGGGAAAAACACCAATTACTCCAGCTTCAAAATATATATTTCCTTCACTATCTCAAAAAAGAGTGAATTATATTGTAACAAATGAAAAGTGATAGCTTTTGGAATTTACAAAATGTGACTTCAAATTAATTAGGAAAAGTAAGAAATGAACATAAATAATTCATTATGATATTGTCAGTTTAATGGTTGTAGAAAAAAAGAAGGATGCCAATATCTATTGAACCTCTCCTATTAATATACTGTCAGATACATTGGCCAGGAATGAACCTATACCAACTACTTGAAAGTCATTTCAGCCTATCGAGAATACCTGAAGAAAAAGTATACGGTGATCACTAGTGTATGCAAATTGTTCCTTCTGAGTCCCAACCAGATGATTTTAAATGGAGTAAATTAGGCACCAATACAGAGAAAGGGGGCTAGATGAAAATTCAGTGAAACCATAGACTACACTTTATTATTTAAATATTATTTAAAGTTATATTTAAATTTGTTATCATGGGTCATTCATTATGTTTAAGATTTAAAAGCACTCCAAGAAAGAAATAGATAAAAGGTCAAGTGCTAAATAATAGAAGATAATTTAACATGTAGTTAATAAGCCCACTTACGTTCCTTGCTTAGTTTGAGGTTGTGTGGAAAATAAAGAAAAAAAATCATTTGGAGTAAAAAGAAATTTTTCTAGAGAAACTTTTGAGACTCAGGGCCCTAAGGATAAGCAAGCCACACTTCCATATGCTTAAGAGGAAAGGTGAGCAGAATGGGAGAAAATTACTTCCAAGGTCTACTTGTTCCTCCTTTCATATCTTTATAAAGGAAACAAATCTTATGTACCTTTTGGATATTCCATCAAACAAGCATTTGCCCTCCTTTGTGTTTTGCATTAGTTTATCTGCCTCTCTTGAGCCAGAAAGCCTCGGGCTTGGCAGTGCCAACAGCAGCCAAGACTCTCTCCACAAAGCCCCCAAGAAGAAGGGAATCAAGTCTTCAATAGGACGTTTGTTTGGGAAAAAGGAGAAAGCCCGACTCGGACAGCTCCGTAAGTATGCATGTCTGACATTCTTTTTCTCTTCCCGTCACTTACGAGTGTCCTTCTGTTTTTCATTTCATTTCATTTCTGTTTTTTCATTTTTTATTTTTCTTATCAGACAAACTCTCCATCTTAACCACTTTTATAAAACCAATGTAGCTGAACAAATGTTTGACAAAACTTACAAGAAAAGAATACTCTACTGCAGAACTTTTAGTACTTCCAGTCTCTCCATTAATAGGCATAGCTAACATTTATTTAATGCTGCCTCTCTGACAGACACAAAAAACCCTCTGAGCAAAGTGCTATTACTGTTATTCTCATTTACTGATAAGTAAACATTGTCTTAGTAATTTGCAAAACTGAAATAGATTTCAGAACCCCCTTAAAACCATTGCGTATTCTGCCACTTGGAGCATAGATGTGTATAAAAGCTTAGCTGTGTGAATTTAACTTAACAGCTATTTTTTTTTGGAAAAAAGCAGAAACCTACAAAAGACCAAAAGGATTGTTAGGTCAAAATAAAGCATATGACATGTGAGGCATAAAATATAAAGCTATGTTTTATATTTTGTTTAAAGCTTCTTTGTTTAAAGCTATGACAGCTTCCCACTATCAAACTCTACAGCATGTAGGTGGGGGGGGGGGTGGAAGGAATAGGGGAATAGGTATTGTATTGGAATTAGTTATTGTCAATGACTAATTGAACAAAAATCACTGGAAATGACTTTAGGATATTATATAAACATATACATCGATTGATCGATGGATGGATGAATGACTGGATAGAGAGAGAGATACATATATAATTGAAACAAACATAATATGTGAAATATATTTTCTGAAGTGATGATATATATACTTAGCTATTTTTGGTGTCTTCCTATATGTTTATTTTTTCTTCTAAAATTTCTATTCATCATCCGTTAAGTCATGATTGTGTATTCTATTCTTTCCTCTTCTCCTTATACTTAGACTAGAATTAAATTATTGAGAATGAATTTAGTCCCTATCTGCAGTAGTAAGTGCTAAACAAAATGATAAAATTTCTAAACACTGCATTTGTTTTTTTAAAGAAATGGTTATTAACAAGTAATGCCTCAACTACCAGGCTTAGTTTCCTGTCTGGGCACCAAAATAACTTCCGAGAATTATTTTAATCTTTTCCAATATACAATTGTAGTATTATTCAAAAATGCCTTTCCCAACTTCCACAATGTGAAACCCACTCAAAACATCAGAAACCAATGGAAATTAATATTTCAGCTATCTGTGTGATTAAATGTTACTCAGCAGGAGAATTAAATCCTCAGATTTCCATTTGTCATAAAAGGACCCCCTTAAACTATCAAAAATATTATGGCATAATCAAAGAAAAGGGAAGATGATTATTTTTGGTTACAAAATGTCTATTTCAAAATTGTTTTAATTTTTTTTATCTTACTTGACAACTGCTCATAGTCTTAGCAAATTATTTGTCATTCCCAATATATTATAGTCTAACCCACAATGGTGTTGATAGTTAATTATTTTTGAATATTTAATTTTCTAACATGCTAGTCATCTTATATATTTATATTCCAACATTACATATTCATTTTAGATCCCATACTTTACTTTTGCTGTTTAAAAAATGTGCATAATTGCCTTTTCACTTCACTCAGATTTTCCTATTTTTATTTTATTCTTCACTTAGATGAGTAGTTCCTGAATCACTAGAAGTTTCACCAACAATATTGTGTCAAAATCAGGGCATCCAAGGTACAGTTAAAAGTTAGAAAAATGTAGGCCCATCTAGAAACCTAGATATTCTTACCCATTTTCAGGGTTGTGTGTCTCTATGACACACAACAGAACAGAAGAGATGGGAAATAATTACAATTATATTCATATCAACTCCATCTAAGTCAGAAACTAACCATAGTTATAAGATTTCTGGGCTCTGAAAGTTTGTTTCACTCAATAGAACAATAGCGGCAGAGTATAAACAAGATCAGAATCAGCAGCATGGCAAGGGCTACAGTATGGGTGAGGAAGACAATGACAAATAGGAACCTCTGGAGCGGTATATATGCTACACTGAAGGTGAATCAAAGTTCTCAGAGAAACCAAGAATATAAAGTCTTTATTCAAAATAAAATTTGACTGAACATAAACAACACAGGCACAAGCAGGTCCCAAGAAACCATATTTCTACCCCCCCCCCCAAAAAGATGCATGGTACCACTGGCACTTTGCTTAAGAAGTATGGACTCAGGTCTACTTTTAGCCTGGAAGGTGGATCCAGGTTGTGAGCAAAAGACCGTGAAAACTTACCAACCTCAGGGACTGCCACCTCGTGCTGCTGACTTATGCCTCAGTAGAAACTGGGGAAGAATCTCTAATGACTCTGATTTCTAATATCTCGATCTGAAAACTCAGACACAGCAGCATGCCAGTGTTCTTTCTTTTACCATTGAAAATAAGAGATAAGAAAGAATGGCATGGAAAGTAATATGGTAAAAGAACGATGGTGTCAAAGAACCAAACTGAAATTCTGAATCATGTCCTAAAACTTGGAACTCTTAGTTAAAGAATTTATTTTATACAGACAGAGAAATAGCCCTAGCTGGTGTAGCTCAGTGGATTGAGCACGGGCCTATGAAGCAAAGGGTTGCCAGTTTGATTCCCAGTCAGGGCACATGCCTGGGTTACAGGCTAGGTCTCCAGTAGGGGACACAGGAGAGGCAACCACACATTGATGTTTCTCTCCCACTCTTTCTCCTTCCTTTCCCCTCTCTCTAAAAATAAATAAATAAAATATTTTTTTAAGAAGACAGAGAAATATAAGTTAACCTGAGAGTAGCTATGCTGGATGCCTTTAAATGAAATGTGGTTTGGAGGAATGAATAAAACTGTGCAATTAAAACTATTAAAATGTCTACTTGGTTCCATCAGAAATGATAAACAACAGGAAAGAAATTTTAATAATTCACAGAGCAGAATATTTGTAAAGGGGGTGTTATCTGCCTTAAATAGCATTCTGAAAAATCTAGGTTAATAACATAAACTTCAATTGTGCTAGTTCAGTCAATGTGACTGAATCAATAACCCCAACTGCAGAACCAAATTCAATATACTACATATAATATATTTCTATAAATGTGTTACTAACAGCAGCAATACATAAACATGTACAGCCTTTCATTTAACACCAAACCAAACTTTCAGTATGTTTCTGGCCCAGAAAATTTTACCTGCTGTTGTCTGTCCTATCCAAACAGCTAGGAACAGGGCTTTGAAACCCAGGATCCATGACTATGCATCAATAATTAGAGTCCTGACTGGCTTTATTTTTAATTTTATCAGAAAGCATCAACCTATTTTGAAACAACACAAATTAAGCTGTGCTTAAAAATAGCCATGTGAAATGAAGCTCATTTGTTTCATTGACAAAGTACCCAGTGACAGAATAAGAAAGCTAGTGGATGGCTCATGACATCCCTGTGGACAGATGTCACAGTGGAGCTGCAGTCATGGCAATTTTGGGCGGGGGTTATAATCAGTTGAACAATACTGCCATAAAAATGCTAATGAATCGAGAGATGTGACTCAAGGTCTCTAGTGGCATATTTAAGACTCACCCTCTCCTTGGCCAACACCCCCCCCCCCAATCACTTGGACATGAACATTTCAGCAACACAGGTATCTGATTTATGGATTAGTGATATGGGTAAGAATCACAAATAAAAAATAGTCTTATTCCTAATTACTATTTTTAAAAGGTGAGATACGGAAGTTCCAAAATACCCCATTCTTATTTTTATAAGATAACATTAGAAATTTCATGTGACACTAAAGTCAATATATTAATCAATAAATGTAGGCTACATTAATAGACATAATATTGGGATAAGAGAAGACTTTTCATTCTACTCCACTGTAATAAGATAACAGCCAAGGAATAGTATCCATTTCCATTTACTGCACTTTTAGAGCCATATCATAACCTTGGAGGAAGGGTAAAAGGGATAATTAAGCTGATATAGAGAACTGAGCTCAGGTGAGGAGTAGGTAAGTAGATGAGTGTGTTTATACTTCTTGCTGATGCACTGATATAGCTGATTACAATATTTGAAGAGCTATTATGTGAAAGAGCTCTAGGCTTTTTCATTGCTGAGTAAGGATATAAAACTAAAACCAAAATGTTAAAGTTGTAAAAAGATTGACTTCATCTTAATGTAAAAAAGAACACAGAAGTGTCAGAATTATATACAAAGAATTGCCTTCTGAGGTAATGCCTTCTTTGTCATTGAAAAACTAGGTAAGTTTAAAACAAAAACTAGGTAAATACTAGGAAGATCTGTTGTGGAGGGGATGCAAGCATTGGAAAGATAGACTGGATGATCATTAAATGCCTACTTCAGCCCTAATAACACTGAATGTATGAAACTTTAACATTTAAGTCTATGTTAAGCAACTCTTTTTTCAATAAAATATATGTCATTAATTATTTACTATAAGAATGTACTTGTGGAGTTCTGGCCAAGATGAAGGAGTAGATAAAAATGCTTCACTTCCTCACACAACCAAAAGACATATGACAACCAATTTAAAAACAATAAACAACCAGAACTGCCAGAAAACCAAACTGCATGGAATTCTGACAACCAAGGAGTTAAAGAAAGAGTCACCTAGACCAGTAGGAGGGGCAAAGCTGGGAGATGGGCAACAGAGCAGAGAGGATGCACAGCAAGGGGGCAGACAGCATGGGCGAATTGGGCCTGACTAAACAGGAAACTAAAAACTCAAAACTAGCTGTAAGATACCGTGGGGGTTGTGACAGTGGGAGAAGTTTCAAGAGTCACAGGAAAATTTATTGGAAAGTGGGCCTAGAGTGGGACAAGCAAGTGGCATTGTTCCCTCTCTGATCCCTCTCCCACAGACAGCATCATAATGCAGCAAAGAGGGTTGGCCTGCCCCGTGAATACCTAAGGCTCTGCCCCTTACAACATAACAGGTGCTCAGAG